TATTATTATTATTATTATTATTATTATTATTATTATTATTATTATTATTATTATTATTATGTGAATCCTGCTTCCCCATTGACTCAGCAAAAGAATGCATCGCTGCAGGCGGTCCTCAGCTTACGACCATAATCAAGCCCCAAAATTTCTGTTCGCTAAGTGAGATGTTTGTTAAGTGAATTTCGCCCCATTTTAATGATAATTCTTGCCACAGTTGTTAACTGAATCACTGCAGTTTTTAAGCTAGCAACACGGGTCTTAAGCGAATTGGGCTCCCTCATTGACCTGGCTGGTCAGTCGGTCGCCAAAGGGATCACGTGATCCTAGGGAGACACTGGAGCATTTAACTCTGGATCCAGGATGTGCTAAACTGCCCAGAGGAGGGGAAAAAAAATAAATTTGAAAGGGTGCCTGTTATGAAAAAGATCTTCCGTCTTTCCTGTCCTTTTGCAAGTTCACCCTTTCCGCAAAATATTTCAAATATGCTCCCCCCCCATCTCATTAATCAAGAGCATACAGGGAGTCCTCGGCTTACGGCCACGACTGAGTCGAATATGTCCCTTGCTAAGTGGGTTTTGCCCTGTTTTATGACCTTTTTCCCCACTGCCATTAAGTTAATAACCCGGCTGCCTTCCCCATTGTCTTTGCTCGTGGCAAAAACGGGCCCCGTGACCCTGGGATGCTGCGACCGTCGTAAATACAAGTCGGTCGCCAAGCGCCTGAATGTTGATCACGTGAACCTGGGGGTGCTGCAACGGTCGTGAAGTCTGAAAAACGGCCGTCAGTCCCCCGTTTCGCTGCCGTCGTAACTTGTCACTAAATGGACGGTTGTAAATGGAGGACTGCCTTTGAATCCAGCTCCCTTTCTTGCGCTCCAGCCTACGGGAAGGTGTTCCTGGTCCGTAAACTCACCGGCCACGACGCCAACAAGCTTTACGCCATGAAAGTGCTCCGGAAAGCGGCCATCGTCGCTAAAGCCAAGACGACCGAACACACGCGGACCGAGAGGACCGTCCTGGAACACGTGCGCCAGTCGCCTTTCCTCGTGACGCTGCATTACGCCTTCCAGACGGACTCCAAGCTCCATCTGATTCTGGGTAGGGAGGGAGAATTGGGGCCGGAGGAAGAACGGATGGCGAGATGGGAGGGGATGCTGGTTAGTCCTGCGGAGGGTTCAACCTGAGCCTCTTCCCTTCCCAGACTACGTGAGCGGAGGCGAGCTGTTCACCCACTTGTACCAGCGGGACCACTTCACCGAGGAGGAAGTACGGTTTTACAGCGGGGAGATCATTCTGGCCCTCGAACACCTGCACAAGGTAAGGGTTTATTTAAGGATTTATTAAATCTCTCGGGCTACCCGTCTGCCCGGAACTGACAGAAGGAGCTGGATGAAAACTCAAGTTTCTGCACGGTGAAAGACACGGGGAACGTTGGCCACAAGCTTGGGCTGGACCCCGGGAGCTAGAGGGGGTCTCTATTGGGGAAAGCAAGAGGGCCTCTGAGCCAGCGTAAAGGCACAGGGGGAAGAGTCGGCCGGTCTTTCCTCCGCTCCCACGATCCAACAGTTGTCAGATTATCGTGGCTTGCTGGCACAAGGGCCAAAGGAGGTCCCTTTCTCGTTCCTCAGCTCGGCATCATTTATCGGGACGTGAAGCTGGAAAACATCCTGTTGGACAACGAGGGCCACGTGGTGCTGACCGATTTTGGCCTGAGCAAGGAATTTGTGACGGAGGATGTGAGTTCGCTTCTTCCCCTAACGGTGTCCAGGATTGTCTGGTTCGTGGGATCAGGGTTTAGATAGAACTGTGTGGAAATGGGGGGGGGAGAGTTGAGTCTTTGTGGAGGAGGCCAGAATTGCTTGGAGAATCAGCTCCAGCCAACAATTTAGAACAGAGGTCTTCAAACCTGGGCCTTTTTAGGACTTGTGGACTTCAACTCCCAGAATTCCTCACCTAGCAGGCTGAGAATTCTGGGAGTTGGGGTGTAGCCATCTGAAAGGTATCTAAAGTGGGCGGGCTTTTTTTTTTTTTTTGACAGTTGGCTTAATGGGGATAGGCCCTAAGGTTTTCCTTGTGCAGAACGGAATTCTGGGAGTTGTTTTCGGGTCTCCCGTAACCTTGGCAACTTTCAGTTGTTGAACTTCAACTCCCAGAATTCCTTAGCCAGCCATTCTGGCAGGAAGGATCAGAATGATGGATTGTCCAAAATATTTGCGGGGCCCTAGATCGAATTCCTTTGACCTTAATAAACCACTCTTCCGCTTTTTTTTTTTGCCTTTGGGAAAGGAACCCCTGGTTAAAACTATGATATCCTGCCTGAGGAGGGGGTTGGACTAGATCACCTCCAAGGTCCCTTCCAACTTTTTTATTACTATTACTGCTGCTACTGCTGCTGCTGCTGCTGCTGCTGCTGTTGTTGTTGTTGTTATTATTATTATTATTATTATTATTATTATTATTATTATTATTATTATTATTAGTGTAAATCTTGTTTGGTTGGCATTCCTTGGCTCAGCCACACAGATCCTAATTCACTTCCAATCAGTCTTTCATTCTCCATGGTTTGGCGATCCTAAATAGGAGTGGAGCTTGCGGCTCCCAAGGCAGTCTACCTCTATATTTCAATCCTGGAAGCGAGAATCAAGAACAGCCTTTGCCAGTTGCAGTTATCCCAGAACGTAGGATTAGATTGGGGTGCCTCAAAACTTGGCAACTTTAAGTCTTGTGGACTTCAGGTCCCAGAATTCCCCATGGCTGGCTGAGAATTCTGGGAATTGAAGTCCACAAATCTTAAAGTTGCCAAGTTTTGAGACCCCTGGATTAGATAATCGTTGGTTCTGATCTGGTTGCTGGTTTCTTCTCTTCTTCCAGTCTTACAGCTGCATAAAATGTGTTTCTTTACTGTCATCAAAACTCAATTTTTCCTTCCTTCCTTTCTTCTTTCCTTCCTTCTACTTTCTTTCTTTCTTTCTTTTTTTTCTTTTCCTTCCTTCCTTCCTTCCTTCCTTCCTTCCTTCCTTCCTTCCTTCCTTCCTTTCTTTCTTTCCTTTCTCTCTCTCTCCCTCCCTCCCTCCCTTCCTCCCTCCCTCCCTTTTTCTTTCCCCTTGCCACAGAGAGAACGGACCTTCTCGTTTTGTGGCACCATCGAATACATGGCTCCCGAGATTGTACGCAGCAAAAGTGGACATGGCAAGGTGAGACGGTTGGGGGAAAAAAAATTCCCTGCGACAAGCCAGAGCCCTGAAAGCAGATTTCTCAAGTATGGAAAAAAAGGTGGCGTTAACTGTCTGCGCAGAAGCTTTCGATAAAGTCAGCGTGGGAAAAGGAAAGCTTTTTCTAACAGAGGGGGAAGACATCTTAGGGGGAGAAAGTGGAGGAAAGCAGAGGGAGTGGAGCAGAAGTAGGCCTTGATTTAGGTCCAAAACTGGGACCAGCATTTCCGTTGCTAAGCCAGGCAGCTGTTAAGCGAAGCATCCCAGTTTTACGACCTTGTTGCCAACAACACCCCAGTTAAGTATCCAGATTCCTTCCCAACGGACATGCTAGTTGCACAGTGCCCAAATTTTCATCCCATGATCCTCAGGCTGTTGCGACCGCCGTTAAGTGTGGGGACCGGTCGCGCGTCCCCTTTTTTCAGTGCTGTTGCGACTTCGAACAGTCGTTAAACAGACAGTCGTAAGTCGAGGGCTACCTGTATCATACCGGTTCAGTTGCCTTTGTTTTTTCCCCCCCCTTGCAGTCTGTGGACTGGTGGAGTTTGGGAATCCTGGTCTTCGAGCTCCTGACCGGGGCGTCTCCTTTCACCCTGGAAGGGGAGAAGAACTCACAAGCGGAGGTGTCCAGGTGAGGTGGGGGCAATGCAGAAGAGCAGGAATGGAAAGAAAGAGACCGGGGGAGGGGGGGGACAGGATTTGGCTCAGGTAGCAGAGGATGTGATCTAGGGGCAAAAATCCGTCCAGGTACGGGAGTGACAGGAGGAGGGAAAGAGTTAGTGGGAGACTAGTATAGCTATTTCAGGCTCATTAGCTCTCATCAGCTAGTCACACCTTTCAGGGATTCAAACCTGGGCAGCTTGCATGTTAGGCAGCTGTATTACATGAATGCTGCAGTGCTGTATAACATGCAAGCTGCCCAGGTTCCAATCCCTGAAGGGCGTGACTAGCTGATGAGGGCTAATGAGCCTGGAATAGCTATACTAGTCTCCCACTAACTCTTTGCCAGACACAAATTTTGAATTTATAGTGTTCACAGTATGTGACGTTTGCCTGCAAAACATGCTCCTAGATTGGAGCGAAACGCAGAACAGCAGGTCCGTATTGAGGCCCTCTGCAGAGGAAGGCAGGGCAAGAAGCAACAAGGGATGGAAACTGATCAAGGAGAGAAGCAACCTAGAACTAAGGAGGAATTTCCTGACAGTGGGGACAGTTAGTCAGCGGAACGACTGGCCACCGGAAGTTGTGAATGCTCCAACGCTGGAGGTTTTTAAGAAGAGATTGGTCGGCCGTTTGTCTGAAATGGGAGCTTGGACATTTTTATAGACGTAAAATGAGTTTTTCCTGCTTGCTTCCAAACTTCCAGACGGATCCTGAAGTGCAGCCCGCCGTTCCCGTCGCTCATCGGCCACGAGGCTCGCGACCTGCTGCAGAAGCTCCTGTGCAAAGACCCCAAGAAACGCTTGGGGTCCGGCCCGACGGGGGCCCAGGAAATTAAGGAGCACCCCTTTTTCAGGGTAAGTCCTGCGCCTGCCGAGACTTAGAGCCGAGTTCATTCCTGATCAGCCTTTCACTCCAGATTCCTTTTTCCGGAGAATTGTGCAACGCACGGATCGGGACAACCCATTGCCACTGCGCAACGCCTGGTTTTATTGTGTTTGGTTGGGTTTTCTTTTTGTTCAGAGCAGGGATCTTGAACCTCAGTGACTTTTAAGGTGTGTGGACTTCAACTCCCAGAATTCTCTAGCCAGGACGCTGGGAGTTGAAATCCAGCCCTCTTCAAGCAGGATGGCTGGGGAATTCTGGGAGTTGAAGTCCACCCATCTTAAAGCAGCTGCATGGAGAATTCTGGGAGTTGAAGTCCATCCATCGTAAAGCGTGTTGGCTGAGGAATTCTGGGAGTTGAAGCCCACCCATCTTAAAGCCTGGCTGGCTAGGGAATTCTGGGAGTTAAAGTTCAAGCATCTTAAAGAATACTGGCTGGGGAATTCTGGGAGTTGAAGCCCACCCATCTTAAAGCCTGGTTGGCTGGGGAATTCTGGGAGTTAAAGTTCAAGCATCTTAAAGAATGCTGGCTGGGGAATTCTGGGAATCGAAGTCAACACATATTAAAACATAGCTGGGGGATTCTGGGAGTTGAAGTTCGCCCATCTTAAAAGAGCTGGGGAATTCTGAGAATTGAAGTCCATCCATCTTAAAACATAGCTGGGGAATTCTGGGAATTGAAGTCCACCCATCTTAAAGCCTGCTGGCTGGGGAATTCTGGGAGTTGAATTCCATCCATTTTGCCAAAGTTGAGAAACGCTGAGCCGGTTTGTCTCTGCACTTTAGTTATCTCTTCTCGCCAATATTTTTTTCCTCTCCAGGGCCTGGACTGGGTTGAATTAGCAGCGCGCCAGGTGAGACCACCATTTAAACCCCTCATTCGCCACGAGTTGGACGTGCGAAACTTTGCCGAAGAATTCACCAGCTTGGAGCCCATCTACTCTCCGGCTGGGACCCCTCCCAGCCTAGACCGTGTCTTCCAGGTGCGTCCCCCACATGCCATATTTCCATAGGTATTGCAGGTGACATACCTCGTTTTATGATTTTTTAAAAAAAATAAATCAGCACTTTCTGAGGTCAGGATTAGGGCAGAACTGCCTCATGACAAACAATGGGTTCATTTAACCACTGCAGCATTCAGATGTACGACCGCCGGGTTCGCTTAATAACTGTCGCAAAAAGGGTCATAAAATTGAGTGAGTCATGACAACGGTAATAGGCAGGAGCCATTACGGTCGTAACCCGAGGACTGACTGAAATTGGAGGGGGGGGGGTTAATTGCAGACAAACGCTGGCAGAAAGATTTTAATATTTGCAGTAGTCTGTTGAACTTGAACTACATTTCCCAGGGCGCCTGTTCCGGGAGTGGCACCTGGGACTATTAGCCTGATATTTTCCCTACCCTTAAAGTTCATTTTGCCAAGGATATTATTACCAATAGGACATTATTGCCAGGATTAATTGTTGGTAGCCTGTTATAATATCAGGCTAACAGTCCCAGGTCCCACTCCCAGAACAGGCGCCCAGGGAAGCGTAGTTCAAGGTAATCAAATTAAAATTAATCGGCCAAAATTGTCATTTCGCTGCTTTGGGTTTCTCCACATAACTCAAAACTTCCTGGGCAAGGGGCCACAAATAATTGGAACAAGGGGTATTTAAATGAACATAAGCCACAGGGAGAAGAAAAAAGATTGGAGAGACTTTGAAAAGATCTTTCTGAGTTGTAAAAAAAAAAAAAAAAGCCAGAAAAAAAATTTGTGGTTTTTGCTTGGAAACCAGATAGAGCTTTTTTTTATTTCACGATCTCAATCATTTCAGGAAGTGTCTTGCACAAACTTCCCCCTTTGCCAAAGACGGTGGAACGGAATAAAAATGGTTTTTGTGTTTGTTTTTTTCATCTTTGAGGACTAGAGTTTTATTTTTATTTTTTTGCTTGCCCGCCTGCCTTTTTGGCTACGAGTTTCAGAATGCTCCTTCAACCTTCCTCCTTCTCCTTGCATGGATTCTCTTGCCGCCGGGGCTGAAATTTGAGGGGTCCTCTGGGTGAAATGACACCCCGAGAATTGGGGCTCTCTTAAGAGTTCAAAAAGAGATGCTTGATTGTTCACCTTCTGTGTGCGAATGCCAATAGGGGCAGTCCTCAACTTACAAGCATTTATTTAGCAACCGTTCAAAGTTACAATGGGCACTGAAAAAAAGTGACTCACGGCGGGGCTGACGACTGTTGGATCGTTCTTGGGGTCATGGGATCAAAATTCAGGTGTTCGATTCACCCAACAAATTTTGATTCAGCCAATGAAAGGCAAGTGGGTCAGGAAAATAAGTATGTGTATGGGAAGAGATGGGAGATTCACGTCCTGGTGTCAAGGTGCCTTGTGGCTCTGCTTGCCGATTTGTGCAGATCAGAGCACAGAATAACAGAGTGGGAAGGGACCTCAGAGGTCTTCTAGTCCCAACCCCTGCTCAGGCAGGAAAGCCTACACCATTGCAGACAAATGGTTGTCTAGTTTCTTCTTGAAAACCTCCAGTGATGAATGAGGTAGGTAGGTAGGTAGGTAGGTAGGTAGGTAGGGAAGGAAGGAAGGAAGGAAGGAAGGAAGGAAGGAAGGAAGGAAGGAAGGAAGGAAGGAAGGAATAACAGTGGGAGTGGGAAGAGACCTTGGAGGTCATCTAGTCCAACCCCCTGCTCAAGCAGGAGACCCTATACCATTTCAGACAAATGGTGTCCAATCTCTTCTTAAAAACTTCCAGTACTGGAGCACCCACAACTTCTGAAGGCAAGTCGTTTCACTGATTGTTATAATTGTCAGGAAATTTCTCCTTAGTTCTAGGTTGCTTCTCTCCTTGATTAGTTCCCATCTGTTGCTTCTTGTCCTGCCTTCAGGTCCTTTGGAGAATAGCTTGACCCTCTCTTCTTTGAGGCAGCCCCTCAAATATTGGAAGAAGGCTATCATATTCTCCCCCTCCCCAATTCTTCTCTTTTCCCACAACTCTTTGATGCATTTCTCTCTCAGGCTGGGCGATTGCCATGCCGTCTCTTGTTTGTTTTTTTCTCCCCCCAAAAGGGATATTCCTTCATTGCCCCGTCAATCCTCTTTAACCGCAACGCTGTGACTGCCGACGTACTCGAGGCAGCGCTCGATGGGGAACGTCCCGGAAGCTCTGCAGTGGCCCGAAGTGCCATGATGAAGGTAGGGAATCTTCCCGGAAGCCGTAGGGGAGTGGGGCAAAGACCACAATAAGAAATCCTGGCTTACAACCCAGAAGGCCTGGTTCACACGACGCGCTTCAACTCTGCTAACCAGATAGGTTTGGCGTTATGGAAATGGCTTGTGCCTACTGTGGTGTGAAAAGTAAAAAGCTGCGGTTGTAATGTTGTTATCTTCTACTGCGCTAAAGGGAGTCGGGAAGTTGCTGCCTTTTTTTTCTTTTTCCTTTTCCTCTTTGCACAATTCCCCCCCCCCTTCTTCCCTCCCCCTCCTCCTAGTTTTCTGTTAGGTTTTTGAATTCTTCCTCGTGTTTTCTGCTTTGATAAATCTGCAAAGCCAAACAAGAAAGTCCAGTGGCCTCGTGAAAAAAAGCACCTTTGGGATCCAGGTTATTCAGAAGCCCGACGAAGGGGCTGTCCTTGCCATACTAAGAGCAAGGATCAACATTCTCACTCATTAACTCCCTCCTTCTCTCTCTCTCTCTCTCTCTTTTTCTCTCAGGATTCTTCGTTCTTCCAAAAATATGAGATGGACCTGGTGGAGCCCCCCCTGGGCGAGGGAAGCTTCTCGGTCTGCCGCCGTTGCCGACATCGACAAAACGGGACGGAATTTGCGGTCAAAATCATCAGCAAAAGGTAGCCAGTTTTATTGATTCCCTTTCTCCAGGGGTCTTCCAAAGTTGGCCCCTGGACTTCAACTCCCAAAATTCCTCAGCCAGCGTGCCTGGCTGAGGCATTCTGGGAGTTGAAGTCCACAAGCAGGGGTCTTCAAACTTGGCCTTTATGACTCATGGACTTCAACGCCCAGAATGCCTCAGCCAGGCATGCTGGCTGAGGAATTCTGGGAGTTGAAGTCCACAAGTCACAAAGGGGCCAACTTTGGAAGACCCCTGGACTTTGGAGTCGTACACATCCAGGAATGTTCTATTTTATTTTCTTATTTTTATTTTATTTTAATTATTTTGGGTTCTTTTTATGCCGAGTCGATCTCGGGTTTCTGAGCCAGAAACTCCTGGGTTGGATGCAGCACACAAAATGCCCCAGCGAGGCTGTGAGCAGGGGCATTTATACACACGGCCCCAGCCAATCAGGACGGGCCGATAGGAGCAGCCAATCAGAAATGCCTTCTAACGCTCCGCCTTTTAAAGGGAGAAAGGCCCTAACTGGAAAGTCGGGTGTTTTGCTATACAAGCTTGCAACAGCTGACATTCTTCTATACTGCTAAGGGCTGGGGAAAAATCTTGAGCCAGATTTAAGTGGGTGGCCTGGGCTATTAATATCAGCCAGCAAGGAAAAATCCATTTTCAATCCTCTCGCTCCTCCGCGTTAGTGAGAACACCACACTCAGCGTGGGAAGACCGAGAAAACTTTTTCGCTCCTGATTGGGCTTGTGTTCAAACCTTTAAAATTAAGAATTTTCCCTTTAACTGTGAAGGTCAGGTCAGCTGTGTCGCTAAGCTACTGTCAAGGATGAAATTTTGGCAGCCTTAAATTAGGGGGGTAGATGGGAGAAACGAAACTACTTCGATTCAGCTGAAGACCGCGGGAGCCTGAAGCCTTGTCAAGGACACCAGAACAGGTGTGGATTTGAAGCGGACAGTTCCCATAAAGAAGTGAACTTGTTGGTTACGTAAGAGGTTGGGGGTTTGGCTGGGAAAATTATCGTTTTAAGTCTGTGAATTGTGGAATCTCAGAGTTAGTTTCGCTTCGACATAACCAAGCAGTGTATTCAATAAACAGTTAAGATTTTCGGAAACGGAATGAACCTGGAGTTTTTTTTGGATTCTCGGGCTGGATGCTGACAGCTACCTGAAGAGGCTGTCGCGAGGTTAAAACTGGTGCTGCGCAGAAAACGGAGGGAGGAATGGCGGGCTGGATTGCAAAGGCAATGAAATGAAAAGAAGGATTTCATCGTTGCGGAATTGGCTGCGATGGGCAGTGGCATCTTTCTCCTCTTTTTTCCCCGTTCAGGATGGAAGTAAACACCCAGCGAGAAGTGGCGGCTTTGCAGATCTGCGAAACCCACCCGAACATCGTCAAGCTTCACGATGTTCATCACGACCAGGTGAGGATTCTAATTCTCGAAGAGGAAGCATCTCGAGAAACCCAACCTGGTTAAGGATGAAAGGGTTGGATCCCGAAATCGGAGAGACCCCCCCAATTGAAGTCCAACCTCAGACATGGAAGCTGGTTAGGGGACTCTGGGGCTAGCCTCTTGGTCTAGGACTAGCCTACCTCGCAGGGGCGAGAAAACTAGGAAAAGATATTATTCTTAGTATATGGTGTCAACGTTGCTAACATTGGATGTTCTTGCTTTGACAAAATATGAAGAGGCAGCCACTCTCTGTATAAGCTGTGTGGTACTTTTAGAGTTAAATTAGATGATGCTGGGAGGGGAGGAGAAAGAATTTGTGTGGGGATTAGTTAAGATAAGAAACGGCAGGCTACAGAAGGAAGGGAAACTTTGCCCTTCAAACTGATTTGGAGAACGTGATTTATGACTGCTAATTGGAGGAGGGAATTGTGCTTGAATATTATGTGTTGGGGAGGGAAATTCAGATCTTGGCATCCACCATGTTCGTGCCGAAGGGTGGTGTACTAATAAAGAGACAATGCCTTGAGGTTCTTTGAAGTATCCCCCTAATTGGAACCATGACATATGGTTCGTCACAATTTATCAGATTTACAGGGTACCTTGGTACTCATTGTTAATTGATTCCGGGAGGCACAAGGAGTACCAAAAACGAAAAATACCAATTTCCCCCCCCCCGTAAGGAATAATTTAGTGAGTCACAAGCCGACAACGACAAGTACTAGCTTGTGCGTTGAGTACCAAACCAACAATGAGTACCGGGTGGAAAACCAAAAATTGGGTCTAATTGCATCCAGTGCCAAATTTGATGAGTTTCAAAGCAGCGGAGTGCCAAGGTACCACCGGATGCCCTTTTTTTGTCCTCCTCCACAGTATCACACCTACCTGGTGATGGAATTGCTGAGGGGAGGGGAGCTCCTGGACCGAATCAAGAAGAAGCAGCACTTCAGCGAGTCGGAAGCCAGCCAGATCATGCGCAGCCTGGTTTCCGCCGTCAGCTTCATGCACGACTCGGGAGTGGTGCACCGGGACCTGAAGCCCGAGGTACTAGGAAAAGCGGGGAGGCTGCGTTTCCAGTGAGGCAGCTTGGTCCGAGGGCCCAAAGTTGCCTTTATACAAGCTGGGCCAGTGTGGGATCAACCGAGGGGTGTGTTTGTCCCGGGCGTGTGGCGAACCAAACTTCTTGGGATTAATACGTGGTGCGTTGTTTTGTGCGGTCCGATCAAAGGTGGGAAATTTAGTAGCCGGGTTGTGTGAATGTGCCTCGTCTGAAACTCTTCTTGTGAGGGCCCTGTTTCCGCGTTCAGAGTTACGCCAGCCTCAGAAAAAAGTGCTTCGCGACCTGTATTCACGTTTATGACTGTCGCGCCCTCCCCTGGTCATGGGATCGCAATTTGGGCACTTGGCCCTCAAAACAACCGGTTGCAGCATCCTGTGGTTGTATGATCACGATTTGGGACCTTCCCAGCCATTTTCTGGCGGAAAACCCTCCAATGGGGGAAGCTGGATTCGCTTAATGACTGTGTGATTAATAATAATAATAATAATAATAATAATAATAATAATAATAATAATAATAATAATAATAATAATAATAGCAACAACAACAATCCAGTCTGAACATCTGGCTGACTCTGCGATGATTAATAATAATAATAATAATAATAATAATAATAATAATAATAATAATAATAATAATAATAATAATAAAGTTGGAAGGGACCTTGGAGGTCATCTAGTCCAGCCCCCTGCTCAGGCAGGAAACCCTAGACCATTTCAGACAAGTTCACCTGCTGACACGTGATTCGCCTGCTGACCACGTGATTCGCAACCGTGGCAAAAATTGTTATTAAATTAAGCCCAGATGCATGGGATTCAACTTATGACTGCCTCCATTTAACGACGGAAATTCCGATCCCAATTATGGTCCTAAGTCAAGGACTCCCTGGCCACTGTTGCGATGTGCTTGGCTTGCTTAGGGAGACTTGGCCTACTGGGATGACCCTTCACGAGGCGGGCCTTTGCGCGTTGTGGACTGCCACCAACTGTGCCCGAATCAGTTAACTGGCTTGCAGCGCGCCGCGTTAGACTCACGGGGCAGGCCAGAAATGGGGCAACGGAAAGCGTGGGTTCCTGACTTTTGTCCTCCAAGGTTAACAACCATTCGTTGGGACTTTACTCCTAGAATATTCTGTACGCAGACGAGACGGAGGGCGCCCCCGTGAAGGTGATCGACTTCGGCTTTGCCCGCCTCTGCCCTCAGAACTCGCAGCCCATGCAGACCCCCTGCTTCACCCTCCAGTACGCGGCCCCCGAGCTTTTGCAGGACGGCGGCTACGATGAATCTTGCGATCTCTGGAGCCTGGGGGTGATCTTGGTAAGTCAGCCGAGCTCCAAAGGAGAAGGGACTGTCCTTCAACCAAGCCAATGGATGTAGTTTGTGTGCGATGTATAGCAGAGGTGCCCAACCTTTTGGGCACCGGGGACCGCTTCCGTGGAGAGAGGTTTTTCCGCAGACCGGAAGGTGCGTGGTTTCGTGTGCTGCCTGCATCCGGCGGATGGGGCTTTGCTTGTTTACGTGGACTGGCTGCTGGCATGCCGCGGCCCGATACCGGTCCATGGACCGGGGGGTTGGGGACCCCTGGTATATAAGTATAAAGCATTGAGGTGTGGCTTTTTTGCCATCAAGAAGTACGGGGGTTCAAGACCCATCGTTCCCCCAGCTAGCAAGGCCACGCCAAGTTGGCTGGGAGCGGAGGGCGATCGTGGGAATTGAAATCCAGCAGAGTTGGATAGCTCCTGGATCGTCTTGGTTGCTATTGTGTATGTGTGTGTGTGTTGTGTGTGTGCGGCATTTTATTTTGCGGTTGTATGTGTCATTTGATTTCCCGGTTAAGATTTAGATCTGCTTGTAACTATAGATACAAATGGGTGGTTTGAAGAAAAAAAAAAAGAAGAGTAAGAAGCAAGATTCTAATAATTACTTATTAACAATCTCCAAACGGTTTAAGATTCCTTCTGCGGTTGGGAGAACTGGAGGCGGGGGAGATAGGTTATCTGGTGCAAATTTGGGAATTTGGTTAGACAAAGAGCGCGCTGGATTTTGTAATTAACGGGAGAGGACATCTGTAGGGTTGAACGGTGGGGCGCTTGGTGCTCCCCGAGCTTGGTTTTTTTTGCAGATGTTTCAGGACCCAACTAGGTAACATCATCAGTATTAAAAGATCATGAGCCAACCCCACTCCCTTTTAGCATGGATGGTGTTACCTAGTTGGGTCATGAAATGTCTGCAAGAAAACCACCAAGCTCAGAGAGCACCAAGGACCCCACAGTCCTCCTCCTTCCTTCTAGCACTGATGATGTTACCTAGGTGGGTCATGAAATGTCTGCAAGAAAAACACCAAGCTCGGAGAGCACCAAGGACCCCACAGTCGTCGTCGTCCTCCTCCTATTCTCCTCCTTCTCCATTTTGCAATTCCCCCGTCCCTTCTAGCACTGAGGATGTTCCCTAGCTGGGTCATGAAACGTCTCCAAGAAAACAGCCAAGCCCAGAGAGCCCCATGGACCCCACAGATTTTGCTAATTGTTTGGGGGGCATTGAAGGGAAAACCAGGGGTTCAGGACACCCAAAAGGGCTGAAGGCACCGTTCAGCCCAAGCAGGAAATCTTCGGGGCAGACCTTCCTTTAAGCCGCCGCCCTTCAAGGTAGGACAGGCTGCCAGGCACACGGGGGAGAACGAGATATTGCTGGGCCCCCTTCGGCTCATGTTTCTTCTCCTCCTTCCAGTACACCATGCTGTCCGGCCAGGTCCCCTTCCACAGTAGCCAGGAAGGAAGCGCAGCCAGCCACGCCGCGGACATCATGCACAAAATCAAGGAAGGGCAGTTCTCCCTGGAGAGCGAAGCCTGGAGGAACGTGTCTGAAGAAGCGAAGGAGCTGGTTCGAGGTGATGGGGAAGGGACAGCCGGGATGCGTTGGGCCTGGGGAGGGGGAGACCCTTTCCTGGGAGATGCCTGTAGAGATTCTCAAGTCATCCAGATCCTGGTTGTCTGAAAGATGCTTTCTCAAGAGGCAACGGGACTTCCTTTTTTCTCTTGGAAGACGTTTCGCTTCCCATCCAAGAAGCTTCTTCAGCTCTGACTGGATAGTGGGGAGTGGAAGGATTTATACTCCTTGCAGACAGCTGGTCATTTGCCTCCTTTTAGGGAGTCGTTGAGGCCACTTGGAGGTTTACCTGCCTCCTCAGGGCCACCTGAGTGGTGCAAATGGAACTGCTGAAAGGATTGTGTTCCACACCCATTTGCACCACTCAGGTGACTCAGAGGACGCAGGTAAACCTCCAAGTGGCCTCAACGGCTCCCTAAAAGGCAAATGACCAGCTATCTGCAAAGAATATAAATCCTTCCACTCCCCATCCTTCAGTCACAGCTGAAAAGCTTCCTGGATGAGAAGGATTTATACTCCTTTGCAGACAGTTGATCATTTGCCTTCTTTGAGAGAGCCATTGAGGCCACTTGGAGGTTTATCTGTGTCCTCCGAGTCACCTGAGTGGTGCAAATGGGTGTGGAACACAGTCCTTTCAGCAGTTCCAAGAAGGCTCTCCACACCCATTTGCACCACTCAGCCGGCCCTGAGGACACAGACAAACCTCCAAGTGGCCTCAATGGCTCTCTCAAAGAAGGCAAATGATCAACTGTCTGCAAGGAGTATAAATCCTTCTTATCCAGGAAGCTTCTTCAGCTCTGACTGAACGATGGGGAGTGGAAGGATTTATATTCCTTGCAGATAGCTGGTCATTTGCCTTCTTTTAGGGAGCCATTGAGGCCACTTGGAGGTTTATCTGTGTCCTCGAGTCACCTGAGTGGTGCAAATGGGTGTGGAACATAATCCTTTCAGCAGTTCCAAGAAGGCTCCACACCCATTTGCACCACTCAGATGGCCTTGAGGACACAAACAAACGTCCAAGTGGCCTCAACAACTCTCTCAAAGGATGCAAATGACCAGCTGTCTGCAAGGAGTATAAATCCTTCCCTTCCCCACCATCCAGAGCTGAAAAAGCTTCTTGGATGAGAAGCAAAACGTCTTCAAAGACAAAACAAGAAAGTCCAGTTGCCTCCTGAAAACAAGCACCTTTGGGACTTCCAGAGGAGAGCAAGGTGTTTTGATTGTGGGTCCTCTGGCTGTGTTCACACAAGGTGCTTAGCTCGGCTTGCCTTGGCCCAACACCCTGTGCTAACCTCGGTTAAGGGTTTGATGCTTCAGCGCGTGCTGTGCAGCCCGCAGTGCCTGTTGGGTGAGCCCCCGATTGAAAGTGTGGTGCAGATGTAGAAAATTGGGTTGAACTAGGTTCAGCGCCTTGTGCAAAAGCAGCCTTTGGTTTTGCGGAAAACCCCTCAAATCACACAGCGAAGGAGGAACCGGATGTTTCGCCAGCTGGGCCGTTTCTGCATTTAAGAAGCAATGTTTCTCCAACTTTCTTTCTTTACACAGCCCAAAGGAGGGCTGCTACGTCCAAGGCCGGTGTAACCTGCAGTTATTGTGGATCAGGTTTAGGAAGAGAGGATGCTTTGAACCCGGAGGATCCCAAGCTTCTCGTTACATTTTAGGGGTCCGGGGGATAAAACATACGAAGAACTGTTGCAGGAATTGGGCATCTGTAGTTTAGCAAAAAGAAGGACTAGGGGTGACATGATAGCAGTCTTTCAATATTTGAGGGGCTGCCCCAAAGAAGAGGGGGGGGGGGTTTCACCTGTTCTCCAAAGCATCAGGAGGCAGGACAAGAAGCAACGGATGGAAACTAATCAAGGAGAGAAGCAACCCGGAATTAAGGAGAAATTTCCTGACAGTGAGAACAATTAACCAGTGGAACGGCTTGCCACCAGATGTTGTGGATGCTCCAACACTGGAGGATTTTAAGAAAAAAACTGGACAACCACTTGTCTAAGCTGGTATAGGGTCTCCTGCTTGAGCAGGGGGTTGGACTAGAAGATCTCCAAGGTCCCTTCCAACTCTGTTATTCTATCATTCCAAATCAATTAACCAGTGGAACGACTTGCCTCCAGAAGTTGTGGGCGCTCCAACACTGGAGCTTTTCGAGAAGAGACTGGACAGCCACTTGGCAAATACAGATGGTCCTCGACTTAAGACCACAACGGAGCTCCACATTTCTGTGACTATGTCAGACGTTTGTTAAGGGAGTTTTCGCCCTCTTTTACCAACTTTCTTGCTACTGTTGTTAAATAAGAGATTTATTATGGAGCGATACAGCGTTGAAGAAATTAAGGGAAATAGGTGATCCTGTAGAAACATATCGGCTTAAAAAGGGTATTAAAAAAAATGGTGAAAGAGGATTCAAAATCCCTTTTAAAAAAAAATCTGACAGAACTATGGAATAAACGGAGATATCGGTTAACGCCAGGCGTTTCTCCTTGAACACCGGTGGTGGAAATGGGAGAAATTCCCTAAGATTGAATTGAAAGAATGGGTTAGTAAATTTAAAAAAAAAAAATCAAAAACCAAGGTATATAAACGGGAAGACTGGAAGAACGTGATCAGGAATATAACACAATTAAAAGAATCTTTTACCAGATATTAAATTCAATTGGTTGAATCTGATACAATTAAGAGAAGTGGGGGAAAATGGAAGAAAAATTCGAGGCGGAAAGATAAGACAGTTAACAAACTTGGAAACGACGACCTGTAATAAAATTGGGGGCGTTTTGCTTGTCGAGAGGCTGGGGTTTTTTTTGTGTGTGTGTGGTTAAATCTCGTCTCCCCGTCTCCGGCCAGGTCTTCTCACGGTGGACCCTGCCAAGCGGCTTAAAATGTCCAACTTACGCTACAACGAGTGGCTCCAGGACGGCAGCGCCCTCTCTTCCACCCCGCTGATGACGCCGGACATCTTGGAGAGCTCCGGGCCCGCTGTGCGAACGGGCGTGAACGTCACGTTTATGGTGAGAGAGACCCTTTGGAGCTTGGGAAATTCGGGTTTCTCCCCCCACCCCGCCCCAGGGGACGGACGGGATGGGATGACGTGCGGTTATATGGGAAAGGAGGCCCTTGGGGGCAGGAGACGGCCGCTGAGTGTCATCGAAAACTGTCAGCACACACACACACACACACACACACAAAAGCAACCTCTGGATTGGAAATGACCCTTTGGAGGAGGCCGAAATGCAAAAAAATATTGGTTGCGTCTTAAAACAGTTGGACATCCCCGTTAGAAAATAGAAGCTGATCCTAAGATAAGACTGGACAGCCATTTGTCTGAAATGGTACTGGGTCTCCTGCTTGAGCAGGATTGGACTGGAAGACCTCCGAGGTTATTCTACTATTCTTTCTTTCTTTCTTTCTTTCTTTCTTTCTTTCTTTCTTTCTTTCTTTCTTTCTTTCTCTCTTTCTTTCCTTCCTTTCCTTCCTTCCTTCCCTTCCTTTCTTTCCTTTCTTCTTATTCTTTTTCTTGTCTCCTTCCTTCCCTATCTATCTATCTTCCTTCCTTCCTTCCCTCCCATCTACCTTCCTTCCTCCCTCCCTCTTCCTTCCTTCCTGCCTGTCTTCCTTCCTTCCCTATCTATCTTCCTTCCTTCCCTCTTCTCCCTCCCATCTTCCTTCCTTTCCTCCCTCCCATCTATCTATCTTTCTTCCTCTCTCCCTCGCTCTTCCTTCCTGTCTACCTTCCCTCCCTGTCTTCCTTCCTTCCGACCTGCCTGCCTTCTTTTCCTTTCCTCCCTCCCATCTTCCTTCCTTCCTTCCCTCCCTCTCTCCCTCCCATCTTCCTTCCTTCCCTCCCATCTTCCTTCCTTTCCTCCCTCCCTCCCTCCCCTCTTCCTTCCTTCCCTCCCTCCCTCCTTCTCTACCTCCTATCTTCCTTCCTTCCCTCCCTCCTTCTCTCCCTCCCATCTTCCTTCCTCTCTCTCTCCCTCCCATCTTCCTTCCTTCCTTCCTTCCTTCCTCCCTCCCTCCCTCATCACTGGAGGTTTTCAAGAAGAGATTGGGCAACCATTTGCCCGAAATGGTTTAGGGTCTCCTGCTTCAGGAGAAGACCTCCAAGGTCCCTCCCAGCTCTATTCCGATTCTGATTTCCATCTTTTGATTTAAAAAAATAAAATAAAATCACAGTTTCTCTCTCTCGTCTAGGCCTTCAACAAGGGGAAGCGCGAAGGGTTTTTCCTGAAAAGTGTGGAAAACGCCCCTCTGGCCAAACGGCGTAAGCTGAAGATGTCCAGCACCGGTGCTGAGGGCCGCCGCAGCAGCAGCAGCTCCTCCTCCTCCTCCTCCTCGGGGTCCTCCTCCCGCCCCCCCAAAGCCAAGATCCCCACCATTCGCCACGACCCTCCCTCGTAGCAGCCGGGGGAGGGCCCGAGTACTGAAGCGCTGGATGGGAGAAGGGGTATTTATTGTCTATGTTGCTGTTTGGGGAGCATTGGGGAGCCCGGCTTCCACTCCCCCCACCCCTTATTTCCACCCCACCCACCCACCCACCATGATGTGATATCTTCATTTAGAACGAGGCGGGGTGTGTGTGTGTTGCAGTTGAAAGTGACCGTTCTCTGTCGGAAAGGCCAGGAAAACCCGGGGGTTTTTAGGCAGAGATTTGGGGCGCAGATCCTGGGGGGGGAGGGAGTGCTCTGGAGGGTTGATGGCTGGAAGGGCTCCCCAAATTTCCAAGCCAAATCGACATCCGATTGCACCACGAGGGCAAAAGCCAGGGAGATTTGGCTCGTCCGGTCGTTTTTCATGTGCGGAGCGTCGCAATTTTAGTCCCTAACTCCTGCAACTCGTCTGCCGCTTTTCTGCGTGCGGGGAGTGGGTTGGGGTGGGGGGGCTGCTGGACCCCTTCCTCCAGGCCTCGATGGGGCAGGTGGAGTGGAATAAGGCTGTTGCAGACAGGCTGCAGATTTCCAAACGGCCAGCAGAGGGCCGCGGTCCTCCTGGCTCTCCCTCTAGTGGCGAAGTGCGTTTTTGCAATCCGAATCGGACAGGAATTATTTTAGCTAATCACTGATGGGTGGGGAAGGGGCTGTTTTTATTCATGATGGATAGCATTTTATTTTTTATTTTATTTTATTTGGTAAAACTGTAATAGGAAGGGATTTGCTCAGATTGAGGCCAAAACTGTATTCTGGGGAAGAAGGGAGGATAGGTTCTCCGATGGAATACTGCTTTTACAGGTTGTCCTCGACTTACAATGGTCCAGTTAGTGACCAAAGCTACAACAACACTGAAAAGAATGACTTGCGACCGTTTTTCATCCTTAAGACCGTTGCAGCCTCCCCAGGGTCACGTGATTAACGATTCCGACGCTTGGCAAGTGGCTCCTATTTATGACGGTCGCAGTGTCCCGGGGTCACGTGATCCCCTTTTGCGACCTTCTGATAACAACCGTGTTGCTGACTTAACAACTGTCGCGATTCCCTTAACTGTGGCCGGAAAGGTCGTAAAAGGGGGCAGAATTCACTTCACAGACATCTCACGTGGCGAACAGAAATTTTGGCCTCAATTGAGGTCGTAAGTCGAGGACCGCCTGTATTTTATTTTTGGATCCCCGTACTCCTGTGCCTGGTGCAGAAATTTAACGGCAGAGTTTGACGCTCAAGATACGTTTTTGGGGCTCAGATGTCACACGAAGCCGTTCCAGTTATGATTTAGGGTTAGTTTGCATGTGGCACTAAGGCACTAACCAACCAGGTTACATGAGAAGTTGGTACAATGCTTACATCTGGGGCTGCAGCTTCTTGAAACCTTTTATTTAAAAACACAGGAGCAAAATGTGATTTTATCTTATTTTTTTTAAAACAGGTAAAACTCTAAATCTCATTCTGAGGAGGATGGTAGGGTTTAAGGCAGGGGTAGGCTACCTTGGCTCTTTTATGACTGGTGGACTTCAACTCCCAGAATTCCTGAGCCAGCATGGGGGAAACTATGGCCTCCTTTATGACTGGTGGACTTCAACTCCCAGAATTCCTGAGCCAGCCATGCTGAAGGGAAAGGGAGAGGTTTCCAAGCTGAGCCATGCTGGCTCAGGAATTCTGGGAATTGAAGTCCACCAGTCATAAAAGAGCCAAGGTTGCCTACCCCTGGTTTAAGGGATACACAGGCAGTCCTCGACTTACAGCTATTCTTTTAGGGACCGTTCAGCCTTACAGCACCCCTGAAATAAGCCAGTCCTCACACTTATGACCGTTTTGAGTATCTCCCACGGTTACACGATCCAGAATTCGGGTGCTTGGCAATGGGCATCTCTTTACGACAGATGCAGCATCCTGGGAAAACGTCGATTGCCATCTGCGACTTCCCGACGAAGAAAGTCAATGGTGGAAGAAGCCAGATTCGCTTAATGACGTGATTCGCTTAAGAACCGCAACGAATCGCTTAAGAACCGGGGCAAAAAATAAAATAAAATCATAAAAATTGGGCGCAACTTACTTAACCACCGACTTGCTTCGCAGTGCAAATCCAGGTCCTAATTGTGGTTATAAGTCAAGGACTGTCTTGTCTGTATATATCAGGGGTCTTCAAAACTTGGCCCTTTTATGACTTGTGGACTTCAACTCCCAGAATGAGGAATTCTGGGAGTTGAAGTCCACAAGACATAAAAGGGCCAAGTTTGAAGACCCCGCTGGTATATATGCCTAAAAGAAACCAAAAAGACAGAATTAAGATGCATCCATCTCTTTCTGTGTCCAGAGAAAGAAGCCAAATAGGCAATATGTCGGGAAAATTGTTATTTTGGGGTGGGGGGGTAGAGCAACAGTCTTTTAAATGGCACCCCCCCCCCTTAAATCATAGAATTGAATCTCGGGAGATTCTACATCTCTTGAAGTTTAAGAGATGGAGGGGGTGGGTGGGTGCTGTTTTAGGACCCGGTCAGATCTATTTTTCTGGGTGAATCTGATAAGCTCAGGCAGTTTGGGGGTGGGGGTGAAAAGGGAGAGTATATTTTTAAGAAAGCGAGAGCAATTTTTGTCTGTCTGTTTAAATATATACATTGAAGGCAAGCATGGGAGTGAGTGAGCGTGCAAGACAGTGTCTTTCACGCTAGAATTTTTTTGTGCAAGGTTGCTTTTTCTCCCAGCAGTAGGAGATAGAGAAAAACAACAACGTTGAAATATAAAAACAGGAGAAAAAAAGCATCACATCATTAAATAGAATTCTGTCCACCGGCTTGCTTACTGAGATCAGATTTTTATTTAAACCCTTATTTATAGGAAGAAACACATTTTTTTAAAAAAAATCAGAACCCCGCTGAATTCTACTCGGCTTCTACTGTAACTGAATCGAATCAAAGACGTTGAATTCTTAAGAAGTGGATTATCACCAGCATTTTAAAGTTTTATCCAATTCAATTGGCCAACTCTGGCTACGAAACCGTCATCTTCCTGGAGCAGTATTAATTGTCATTATATATTTTTTTTAATTCCCTATTGCTTAAGCTACAACAGGGCAAAAAAAAAAAAAAAAAAAAGCTGATTTCGAATTTTTAATCCCCTGTAAACGTGCTACGTCTTGTTCGTCCCGAAGAGAAATTTTATTGCACAGATTTTTGGAAACTTGATACGCGCTGCCTAAGCGTTTTGAGGACGATGTATTTTTATGTAGGAAAAAAAAAATGGGGCTTTTCAGGAAAGTCAGGACTGTAAGTTGCTGAATGTCCGGCTGGGAATTTGACAAGGTTATTATTATTATTATTTTTAAGAGTGGGAGGCAGCACGTTTAAGGACTATTTCGATCTGAAACGATTGAAAGAGGTAGATGGATGAATGCGAGAGTGGATCCTTTTCCATTCTTGAATCGGAGGCAAAAAAAAAAAGTTATAATTGCACAAAGAGCATTACGCAAAGGAGAAAAGAGAGGGAGGTGGGGGGAGAGCCCTATAGACACTTTAAAGGGAAGTGCAATTAGGAACATATTGTGATACGGGGGAACTAGGAAGGAAGTGGAGAAAGCAAGGCCCAGCAAGGGGAAAAATGAGAAAGGGTTCAGTTTTATGAAAGGCTGCCTGCTTAATCGACATTAAATGGGAAGGTTATGGCTACCGGAATCATTTGATGTTACCTTAAAATCAGCATTTAAAACTGATCATTTTTAGACTGCAATGGGATAACGACAGGGCCCCGTTAGAGAGAAAAAAACTCAGCCTAGGAAAATTTTGTGTTTCCCCTTCTGCTGGGGTTGAGGATAAGAAAGGGCCACCGCAGATCGCTAGATCGGTGTTTCTCACCCTTTAAGACTTCAGTTCCCAGAATTCCCCAGGCAACGTTGAGTTGCCGGCTGGGGAATTCTGGGAGTTGAAGCCTACCCATCTTAAAGCTAGCAAGGGTGAAAAACATTCCTCTAGGACAGGGCTTCTCAACCTTGGCTCCCCCATGGACCCCCCCCCTTTAAATATCTTTGGTGGCCACGCACCGCAAGACTTAAGATATCAATCCTAAGATTGCTTCAAGCCTTTGTGGACCCCCCCCGTGACATCGTGGACCCCCCCCTCAGGGGTCTGTGGACCACAGGTTGAGAACCGCTGCTCTAGACTGATAATCTAGAACTTTTCTGCTTCTACAACGTGACGTGGGGGCAAATGTCTTTCTCCAAAAGATGGAATTGAGACTTCCTCAAAACACTCCCAGATATTTTGTGCCGGTCTGTTAAGGAGGAAGAAGCGAGCCGAGGCTTGTAAATCACAATATCCGGCAGGGAATGGAAGGGTGCCGTCCGTTTTTGTGAAAAAATAAATAAATCCACGCTTGGCTTCAACGTCCGGGCTCCGTTAAGCCATCTTTTAACCCACATCGTGTGAACCGGACACGCGAGAGTCTGGAAGAAAGGCGGGCAACTTCACAAGGTATCTTCTGCACCCTTATTTTTTCATTTAAAGGGGGGGAAAAAAATCTCTTTCCCGCTTTGGGAAGCGACGGCACGCTAATTTCACCCCGTTTCTAAACCTGTTCAAAACAACAGGTAGTCCTCGACTTACAGCAATCCATTTAACGGCCGCTCCAAGTGACAACGGCGCTCAGAAAAAGCACCTTAGGACCATCCTTCAAGGACGACTTCAGTAGCGTTCCCCCGGGGCCGTGCAAATCAAAATTCACTGGTTCACGCTTGTGACCGTCGCCGCGCGGTCCCCTTTTTTGTGACCTTTGGACGAAGCAAATTCAACGGGGGAGCTGGATTGGCTTGTTAACTTATCACCTGCAAGTGGTGATAAGGACTGTTAAAAAAGAGAGGTCATAAAACGGAGCAAAACTCGCTGAATTAAATGTCTCATTTAGCAACAGAAATGTTGGGCTCAATTGTGGTCGTTAAGTCGAGGACTAGCTGTACCAATGTTCCTTCTCAGTGGTTCGGCCAGCCGCTTCCCTCCTTCAGTATTTTTGCACTTGGCAGCTGTTTCCCGGGGGAGCCAAGAGGCGCCTCCTTCCATGGGGCGAGGGATATCCGTGTGCGCGCGCGTGTCTGTACATACGTGTGTATGTCTTAACTGCCATATATGCCCTCCACTCTGTGCCAAGGAGGAGACGAAGTGAGTGGAGGGGGTCCTTTTAACACATCCTTCTTTTCAGTAGCACAAGAGGCCGAGAACTTACCGGCGGGGTGTGTGTGTGTGTGTGTGTGTCCTGGGCCCATGCCACCAAACCACGTGTATTTTTTATTTGAAAATAAAAAATTGCCTCTGAAGCCAGATCGCTCTTTCTCGGATTCCTTTTGTCTGCGGGAAAAAGGCTTAATGCAAAGACGCAAAGAGTTGATGGTACAAATTCGGAAATATTCAGCTCTACGGGTTTACGTGGGGTCCTTGGCGCCCTCTGAGCTCGGTGGGTTTTTTTTTTTTTTTGGCAGACGTTTCATTACCCAACTAGGTGACCTCATCCAGGCTACGAGGGAGTGGGGATTGCTTTCATTTTACAGGCGTTCGCGCGGTGGTTCCTTGGCGGTGTGTCTACCTGCACGTTTCTCCCCCATTTGTGCGCTTTCTGATGCCTTGGATGCCTGTGTGTGGTACCGATGGAAGAGAATGCTTGTGTCAGATGAAGCTTCAAAGAACTTCGAGGCCTTGTTTACCTTAAAGAATCTTTATTTGAGAAGCATAGCGTGGGCACTAACACAATCGAAGCCAAAAACTGGATTCCCCTCCCCTGAGCACATGGTATCAAAGCACAATTCCCTCCTCCAATTAACAATCATAAATCACATTCTCCAATTAGCTTGAAATGCAGGCTTCCCTTCCAGTTCTCCAGCCAGGCCAATTCTTATCATCTCTTATTTCAATAACCTTGGTTCTCACACTAGGTCCAGTATTGTTATGTCTAACTGAAGTCTCATGCGCCTTCCTCATCTAACTCTAAGAGTAAAATATAAGAAGAAAAGGGTTGCATCTCCAATTGTTGTCAAAGCAAAAACATCCGATGTTAGCAGCGTTGGCATCTTGTAGCTCAGGATTGAAGTGAGCCAATCAAATGAGAGCGAGCCTCGTTCCGTCCTAGCGCTGATGACGCTACCTAGTTGGGCAATGAAAGGTCTGCAAGAAAACCTCCAAGCCGAAAGAACACCCAAGACCCCACAATTTAACCCAAAGCTACAAATATTCTCTTCCATCGGTTCCACAGTGTATGTATGTGTGTGTATATACTGTATATCTCAAGCGTGTCCAAATAAAACTGGAATATCAAAAGGTCATTCTTTCATGCTAGTCAGTATCTTCTCTGGAAATTTAGAGGGGTAGTGAAATACGCTGAACCTAACTTTGGAGTCTTTCCCGAAGCTGAAATCTACACATTTATTTATCCACGTTAAATTTTCTTTGGATGGAATCCCAAAGCTTCACGAATTATATCAATAGTGTATCTTTTCCCCCCTCCCAATGTTCCCAGACAAATTGTCAGAACTGGTTTTCCATTCGCTGTTCTGCCTTTAGAGAAATTAAAAGCCTTTTAAGTGACCCTTAAAGTCCAGTGGGGCTGGACTTTTAACCCCATCACTGCCAGGAAAGGAGAGGCTGGCTGAAAACTTAAGATTTTCCTTTATCTGGGAGGTGGCAGATCGAAGGAAAAACCAGGAATGGCCATTTCAAGGAATCTGCGGTCCGGTGCGGTGAAAATGGAATCTTTTTCAAGTGGGAGGAGGCAAGTTTGAGAAAACTTAATTGCTAAGCTACTGCAAAAACACAAACACCCGCACGCATTCGCCCCCACCCACCCACCAAAAAAGCAGGGCACGGATTTCTACGTAAGTAGATTGGCTCCACCAGTTTTGAAACGCAAAGTTTATTGAAAAGAAGAACCAAACCAGGAAAAAAAAAATAATAAAAAGAAATCTTACATCGACTGGAATGGAAGAGAAGCATTCCCTGAAGCTATGGAAAGGGTCTGGAGGGTGGGGATGGGGGGGCAGGGGGGGAGAGGGATGGTATTGATTTAACAATGACAATATATCCAAGATATGCAGATAGTCCTAGGAAGACAACGGTAGATGGCGGGCGTAAGTATGCAAGGAGGCTGCATACAAGAACAGTCCGTGAAGGCAGAAGAGGGAGGGGGGGGGATTCAGGGAAGACCGTGGGTTGCAAGGCAGGGGCTGAACCGGGGAAGGGGGCGGGGAGGCGGCTTCCCCTTCCCACCCACCTCATGTCCAAGGCATTCCATGCTCCGAGCTTCTTCCGGCCCCATCGCTCTCCACGAGGGCTTTGAGGCACCGTCCCAGCCACCACCGCACCCGGCCCGGGACACGAGGAGGGTGGGGAAAAGGGAGGCCAAGCAGGGAACAGCCACAAACTGCTAAAGCACAGATGGGGCAAGAGTCGTACACAGACAGACAAGTGGGGGCTGGATAGGATCCCATTTGGGGGGGGGAGCAGGCCATCCTTCCATCCTGAACGGGTGGGGGGTGGACGGGGGGGAGAGAGGCAGCGGCTTGTCTTATTTGGCGGTCATCATCTGTACAAACTCTACGGAGCAAGGAGAGAGGACGGAGAAGGGCGTCAGGTGCGGCCGAGGAAGGGGGCCTGCCGAAAGGACACCCCCCCCCCGTTCATGAATCCCTTTGGACAAGCAACTGTTTCTGGGAACATACACCAGATCAGGGTCATATACCACTTGAGGAAGGGCGGACTTCAACTCCCAGAATTCCCCAGGCCATCTCTAGAGACAGGAGAGTCCCTCCTTAGCCAAAGAGGCAGATCCAGGTTAAAAAAAAATGGCTCTGAAATTACTGTAGATTGGGATCTCTCCACCGTGGCCACTTGAAGAAGGGCGGACTTCAATTCCCAGAATTCCCTAGACAACCATCTTAAGAGTGGCCCCAATTGAGAAACATTGCAGTTCACGAGCACCCAAATGGGAACCAAAAACCACACCAACACAGCCATCTCCTCTGTAATGCCGATCGGAAAAGGATGATTCCCAACCTCCCTTTCCTTCACCCGTTACTAGTCCTTGGTGTTCTCAAGAGCTCTAGTTGCCCAATTAAAAAAACAAACAAAAACACTAAACAAGGTCTTCGCTACCCAAAAAAGCTGCCTGGAATAATCTCTCCTTCGACACACACCCCCCCCAGGATGTCCGTGGGCCTTCGGCCCTTTACCTTCGTAATTGACTTGTCCGTCTCCGTCGATATCTGCTTCTCGGATCATTTCGTCCACCTCCTCGTCCGTCAGCTTCTCGCCGAGGTTGGTCATCACGTGGCGCAGCTCGGCAGAGCTAATGTACCCATTGCCATCCTGGGTAGGGCAAGGAGGAAGGAGAGGTGAGAGATCCAGGGACGAGCTGAGCTCAAAGATGGACATAGACAGAACCACGGAGACGAATGCCTCCTCGCTCCTTTGAAAACTCAACTCACCAACAGTTTTTGGAAAAATCATTTCTACCGGGCCAAATCGGGTTCTCCCACTTGGGCACCGCAAAGTAACTTTCCAAACTGACCCACAGGCCTTACAAATAACAGGATTATTGATTATTACATTTACCACAATTATTTATTACTATATCAACTATGGTTGATTGACCATTATGTACCCGGATAATAGTCTGTTTGCTGAAGATTGAAAATGTTATTGGGGGATAACCCCAATGTTGTTCCCAACCTTGTCCTCATCCTAGTCCTGATCCTAACCCCATCCTAAACCTTAATCCCTATCCCAATCCTATTCTATCCCATACCCTATAAAATTCAATAAAATCTTTAAAAAAATAAAATAACAGGAGGCCACATCTGGAATACTGCGTCTAGTTTTGGTCGCCACGTTACAAAAAAGATGTTGAGACTTTGGGGGAAAAAAGTGCAGAGAAGAGCAACTGAGACAATTAAAGGCCTGGAGACTAAAACATATGAAGAACGGTTTGCAGGAAGTGGGTATGGATAGTCTAGAGAAGAGAAGGACTAGGGGGGACATGATAGCAGGCTTCCAATATTTGAGGGGTTGCCACAAAAAAGAGAGGCTCAACCTATTCTTCAAAGCACCGGAAGGCAGGACAAGAAACAACGGTTGGAAACTGATCAAGGAGAGCAGCAACCTGGAATGAAGGAGAAACTTCCTAACAGTGAGGACAATTAACCAGTGGAACAGTTTGCCACTAGAAGTGGTGGGTGCTCCCTCACTGGAGGTTTTTAAGAAGAGACTGGACAGCCTCTGAAATGATATAAGGACTCCTGCTTGAGCAGGGGGCTGGACTAGAAGACCTCCAAGGTCCCTTCCAGCTCTATTCCGATGGATTGAGAATACAGGCAGTCCTCAACTTACAAGCATCCGTTTAGCAACTGTCTGAAGTTACAACGGCACTGAAAGAAGGGATTTATGACCGGTCCTTGCACTTACAACTGTTTTATCATCTGTGGGGTCACCTGATTGAATCCCAGATTACTTGGTAGGCCAGCATGTAGCGATGATGGTTGTGGCACCTCGGGGGGTCACGTGATCGTCCTTTGTGACATCTGACAAGCACAGTCAATGGGGGAAACCAAATTCGCTTAATGACTGTGTGATTCATGTTAACATCTGCAGTGATTTGCTTAACAATTGTGGCAAAAAAAAAAAGATTGTAAAATTGTGGCCCTCCTTAGCAGTGGAAATTCTGGTCCTCATTGAGGTCCTAAGTGGGAGACTACTTCTATTATCTCTTCCCCCTCTTACTAGTGGACACAACTTTCCAGCAAGGGTGTGTTTCCCCCCCCCTCAAATTAAGCAAACCCACCTTGTCAAAAACTCGGAAGGCTTCACGGATCTCTTCCTCACTGTCTGTGTCTTTCATTTTCCGGGCCATCATGGTGAGGAATTCTGGGAAATCGATTGTGCCATTCCCTGGGAAAAGGACCAGCTTAATTTAGTCAGATCAACGGACTAAAAAAATAAAACAAAACACAGCTCTTTGCTACCTATTCATGAGAAGATACATACACATACCCCATGCTAGATTCGCCAACCAAGAAATCTAGATTTCCCCTAATTTGAAAGTCTGGAAAAGTCTCGCGTGTCAGCTTTTATAAGTTTATAATATACAATACAACAAACATTCAAAAGTAAATAGCGGAAAAGATGGAGAAGGGAAAAGGGAATAGAAAAGTGAGAGAAGGGGAAAAAAGGCATTGACTTCCAACTTTCTTTGGTGCGGTGAAATAGAATTATCAACCTCAAACTTTGATTTTGGGCTTTACCAGTTAGATAGAATTGAGGTTATTGAAATGGCTAGTTTATATTATTTGGTAAAAATAAAAATTTGAAAGACTGGCAAAATCAAGACAAGGCCTACTTTTCAGCCCCTTATCACTCTAGTCCGAGTGGACAATCGCTTAAAAATGAGCCAGCCGTGTGCAGCACCTGCCAAAAAGGCCAACACAATCCTAGGCTGCATTAACAGAGGGATAGAATCAGGATCACATGAAGTGTTAATACCACTTTACAATGCCTTGGTAAGGCCACACTTGGAATCCTGCATCCAGTTTTGGTCACCGCGATGTAAAAAAGATGTTGAGACTCTAGAAAGAGTACAGAGAAGAGCAACAAAGATGATTAGGGGACTGTAGGTTAAAACATATAAGGAAAGGTTGATGGAATTGGGTATGTCTAGTTAACAAAGAGAAGGATGAGGGGGAACATGATAGCAGTCTTCCAGTATCTCAGGGGCTGTCCCAAAGAAGAGGGAGTCAAGCTATTCTCCAGAGGGCAGGACAAGAAACAACAGATGGAAACTCATCAAGGAAAGATCCATCCTGGAACTAAGGAGAAATAGTCTGACAGTGGGAACAATTAATCAGTGGAACTGCTAGCCACCAGAGGTTGTGGGTGTTCCAACACTGGAGGCTTTTGAGAAGAGATTGGGCAACCATTGGTCTGAAATGGTATAGAGCAGGGGTCCCCAACCCCCCGATCAATGGACTGGCACCGGTCCATGACATGCCAGAAACCGGTCCGTGCAAACAAGTGAAGCCCCATCTGCAGGATGCAGGCAGCGTGCAAAACCATGCCCCCTCTGGTCTGCGAAAAAAAACTTCTCTCCACGGAACCGGTCCCTGGTGCTCAAAAGCACGGGGTTGGACTAGAAGACCCCCGAGGTCCCTTCCAACTCTTTTCATTCTGCTATTTTCTCCAGGGCATTCAGGAAGAGCCCCGCTTACCATCTGCATCCACTTCGTTGATCATGTCTTGCAACTCTGCCTCGGTGGGGTTCTGACCCAGCGAGCGCATCACGGTGCCCAGCTCCTTGGTGGTGATGGTGCCATCGCCATCTTTGTCGAAGAGAGAGAAAGCTTCCTTGAACTCTGAAAGAAAAGGAAAAAAGGAAAGAAGACGAGGTCAGATCCAACTTCGTCCCTCGATCCAAACTTTTAACCAAGCCAAGGAGGCCATTTTGTTGGATTTAAAAAAAACGCCCCCCAAGCTCTTGTTCCGGTTACTGGTTTAAGTCAGCAGCCTTCTTTAGTTTCAAGATGCCCTACAGGTCTGCCATCTCTCCCCCACCCAGTCAGCGTGGACATTATGGACAGATACTTAATGCCTCTGGAGGGCATCAAGCTGTACGACAGCAGCCACAAAAGACAGGGTAAAGAAAGAAGCAAAGGGGGTGTCCTTCAGGGCGATCAAGGCTCTGTATATTCCTAAGAAGAGTCCACTGAGAAAGGAGACCACGGGCGATCCCATTTTAAAGATGGAGAGTAGCTGATTGTGAGAACTGCAGCCTCTTTTGTCTAAGCCGATTAAGCTTAAAACAAACCAACTATGGTTTGTGGCACTCACAAGTCAGAGGTACCCTAGTCCAGGGGCCTTCAAACTTGGCCCTTTTATGACTTGTGGACTTCAACTCCCAGAATTCCTCAGCCAGGCGTCCACAAGTCATAAAAGGGGCAGGTTTGAAGAGCCCTGGTCTAAAAGACAGTTGAGTTTGCAAGAGATCCAATTGGAGATCTGTTTTCCAGCATCAGGTCTTTGTTCTCTAGTTGCTGCTGCTGCCTGGATCTATTCTGCCACATTTCCAGGGGCCGCCAGCTTCTCACCTGCAATCTGCTCCTCGGTCAGTTGGTCAGCCTGCGGAAGGAACAGGACAATCAAAAAGTCTGAATCCCCTTTTAATCACGCCCATTTCCTGCATCTAGTGTATGTTTCCTATCTCCTGGCCTTGCAAAGTTCCTTGTGTGGAGTATCTAGAATAGGGGTTCCTTTTATGACTTGTGGACTTCAACTCCCAGAATTCCTCAGCCAGGCACGCCTGGCTGAGGAATTCTGGGAGATGAAGTCCACAAGGGCCAAGTTTGAAGACCCCTGATATGGACTTTAAGAGGAGTGGACTTCAACTCCCAGAATTCCTCAGCCTGCATGCCTGGCTGAGGAATTCTGGGAGATGAAGTCCCCAAGGGCCAAGTTTGAAGACCCCTGCAAGCTTAGATCAATGTTTCTTGGCCTCAGCAACTTTAAGGCCTCAGCAACTTTAAGAACTTCAACTCCCAGAATTCCCCTGTTTTTTTGACGAGCTCCTCTCCTCACAGCCCCCCTTCCCCTCCAGTCTTCTAGCCCCCCTCTACTTCAGAGGGCGGGGTCTATCTCCCCCCCAATCAAAGCCCCTCTATTGTCTCGGGGGAGCCCTCCAAGACCCCACCTCTTGTTGAAGGAGGGGTCAAAGTAGGGCCTCCGCCAGACCCTTCTCCAAGTCCGGCCCCTCCCCTTTCTTGCTCCGCCCCTTCTGGGGGATAACTCTCCCCCCCCCACTCCAATTCGGTCTCCCCTCACCATGGTGACCGGGCGAGGGAATAGCTCCGCGACCTCTCAGCTTTAGGATCCCGCCGCGGGCCGAGGAGCCACCGCCTCTCTCGCGCGTGCGCCCTGGCGCTCTCCCACGATAGGCGGCGGCCGAGCGAATCGCTCCGCCAACGAGTTCCGGCTTTACAACGGCTGCATTGGCACCGCCCCGTTCCACATCCGGGCTCTGCCCTTCCTCAGACACGCGCGCGCGGCCCCGCCCCCTCTGCCCTCACGTGGCCCGCTGAACGAGCCGCCATTGGTCCAGCCTCCCCTGCATTGCGTCCAGGGGGCTGCTTAAAGGTCGATAAAAAAAAAAAAAGAAAGGGCGGAGCTAGGCTAGGAGGAAGTCCGACCCGGAAGAAAATACTATCGGCGGTCAATAAAGACAAGGAGATTTAAAGGGGAAGCCGCTCAAAGGAACAGGGTGGTTATTAAAGGGGAGGAGTATATTTAAGGTGGATAGGCCAAATCTCCCAGAATTCCCCATCCAGCTAGCTGGGGAATTCTGGGAGTTGAAATCCACTAATCTTAAATTTGCAAAACGCTACTTACAAAAGAAGACAGCCCATAATACTCTTGTGGGGGGGGGGAATGGCCTGGCTTATTCTAAACGCTTAGCGAAATATAGTGAAATATAATTTTATCCTATTTTATCTATCCACATTTTAAATTGCCGCATTTGATTCAAATTTCATTTTAAAAATGTATTTTATCCTAATTTCATTTTACGTTGTATTTTATTTCTATTTTATCCTGAATTATAGTTTAACTAATTGCATTCTACATTGTTTTTGCTGCCTTTTAATATAACGTGTGTTTGGAACTCTGCAACTTGATATGGCCCACGGCTAATCAATAAAGATGATTATTATTATAAATGCTTAGCAATAATTCAACTATGTATTTAAAACAGCCACTAAAGCATACATTAGTTTATCCAACAGGATCTTGAGAATAAACGCGACCTGAGCGATGTTTCACAACTGCAGGAATTAAGATGGGGGAACTTCCAATTTCCAGAAATCCCCCATCCAGCATGCCTGCAGGGGGGCTGGGGAATTCTGGGATTTGAAGTCCCCTCAGCTTGTAATGATTGAAAGTTGAGAAATGCTGCACTGGAGCAACACAATGTATTTCAGGATGTGCGATGGGTGGGATACATCGGACTACAACTCCCATCTGTTGCAAATCCAGAGCTTTCTGAGAAGGCGCTGATCCAAACATGTGTACTTCAAAGCAACTTAATGTTAGGCTCCACACAGCTGAACACACACACACAAACACACATACATATTTTTCTGGGTGTCGCATCACATGTCCGAAATATTGTAACTTCCATTTTTTAATTATTTTGATGATTTCCCTTGGCTTTCCCAGGTGGCTTATATATACTGTATATATTTATCCCTTGCAGAACCATAGTCATAATAAGGAAGGAAGGAAGGAAGGAAGGAAGGAAGGAAGGAAGGAAGGAAGGAAGGAAGGAAGGAAGGAAAAGAAAAACTAGGAGAGAGGGAGAAAGGGAAGGAAGGAAAACAGCAATTTCCTTCCTTCCCCCAGATAAAAGTTGAACCAAACCACAAAGGGATCTAAAATGGTGGATGCATATCCTTAGACTCTGCCCTACTCAACAGAAACCAGATGAGCCTGAAGGCAAAGAGAGACATTTATTAAAACTGGTTCCACCCACACAAAAAAAGAAGCTGGCACACTTTGTTAGGCTTAGGTCCGATAGAATATCTTCAAGGGGGCCAAACACATACAGGACGAAATTCACACTAGTGATCAGGAAAGATTAACCCAAAAATGGGCTGGACAAAGCAATTGGGGGGAAGTGTCTCCATGGTCCCCCTTGCCCAAAGCATTTATATATGTGGTAGCACTGGATCAACACAAAGTTTCACTCTGGATCAGTGTATTTCAACTTTGGCAATTTAAAGATGGGTGGACTTCAACTCCCAAAATTCTCAGAATTGAAGTCCACCCATCTTAAGTTGAGTAGTCCATCGTTTCATGGAAGCCCATCACCTCCAGCCCGAGAGAATGGAGGTTCACATCTCCCTCTGTCTCCAAGATGGTGTGTTGACCTGCTAATATCAAATTTTAGGGAAAAATATTGGCAGTATCCTGGAATGTTGAGGGAACAGAGGTGACCTCGGCCCACTTCAGCCTCTACGTGTGGTTAGGAACCACCTAGACTTTCTTCCGACCAGCTGGTTGTGGGAACCGGAATCTGGGGTCTAGAAAGGCTGAGCTATGGGGTAACAGAGACAGGTGGGACAATACAGAAGAAGGAGGTTAGTAAGTTCAGGAGAGGCATCTGAAGCCACCCTTGGCTGGAGTGTCTTCTTTTAGAGGAACTTCTTTCTGAAGATGGGCCAGACTGTGCCGGGAAGAAAGACCAACTAGGCCACGTAGGGGAAGCTGAGGAGAAGGCCTTCCGAGGGAAGGAGCTTGAGGTTCTGAAAATCCAGCTGCTTCTCCTCCCGGCCGGCATGGGTGCTGAGCTCCACCTCCACTTGGGCTGGGAGATGGGAGTGAAGGAGGGAGACCGAGATCTCCTGGTAGGCGAAGTTGAGCACCACCAGGAATCGCTTGTTCTGGTCCCAGATCCGAAGGTAGGAGAAGACCGCTGGGTTAGAGCTTTGCACCAGGTCGAAGTCGCCGTGCAGAAGGGAGCGTTCCTTCGTTCGAAGCTCGCTCAGTTCTTGGAAGGAGCTCAGGATGGACCCCTTGTGGCCCTGCTGGACCTGGAAGAGGAAAAAAAAAAACACAGGTGGAAATCAATCGTTTTCTAGCTTGCGTGTGCACCTAGTGTCACCTAGAAGCCACTCCGAGGCAAGCTGCCTTTTGCAATTGACCGACGGGGATGTTGTCAATGCCAATGGTGTTCAAGGGATGCTCCAGAGGTTTTGAGATTCACTCAAAGCACCCATGGCTATTGGGACTATCTTTGCTTTCCTTTGCCCCAGTCGTTTGACTTCTATTTGCGGGTCTTTGTATTTTGTTATCTTCTCCTGTTCCTTCTTTTCTATTCTGCCACCTCCAGCATCCAGATTTTTTTCTCTTTCTTGTTGACAATTGTTAAGTCTGGGGTGTTATCTGGCAGATGACTGTTGGAATTCTAAAGTCTCAAAACATATTCGTTTCTTCATTCATTCTCAATGACTTTTTCTATTTTATGATTATTATTATAAAGCTAAGAGAGGGGGACTGGCTCAAAGTCACCCAGCCGGCTTTCATGCCCAAGGCGGGACTAGAACTCGCCGTCTCCTGGCGATTGGCCCAAAGTCACCCAGCCGGCGTTTATGTCTAAGGCAGGACTACAACTCACATTCTCCCGCTTTCTACCCTCTGGCCTGAATCTCTGCCCCAAATTTTCGTCGTTCCTTTTACCTGTAAAAATTAGCTTCCCTCCCACCACATTTCTCTTACCTGCACAGTGACGTTGCTGGCCTCGGGTTCAGCCACCTGCTGCGGCCCTCGTGAGAATCCGTAATTCGCCGTGTTGTCCCACTGCATGTGTGTGATGTTGGAGGATGCAGGCTAGAGGAGAAATTAAGAGGATTGTTGCTGGTAGAGCCCCTCCAGTGCAAAACCATCAAGCACACCCACCCCTCGTCGCCCTAACCTTGTCGCCTGGCATCCTACGAACCCCCTTCACCTCCGACCTTCTGAGGCTGATCTTACCTGCCCCAAAGTGTCCCGCAGGCCAATTTCATCTCCGTAATCTGTGAAGGGGGTCCCGGGCAGGGTGTAAAGGAGTAGATGGTGGAGGCGAAGCAGCTGCTCCCCCATAGATTGGGCCAAATGTCCAAAATCGGATCTACCGATCTGCGGGAAGGGGGGGAGGGAAAGAGACCGTTAGCATCCCAGCGAAGAAAAACAAGCTGAGTTACGCAACAGGTTGTCGTGTCAGTGTTTCAAAAGTTTGTATAAAAGTTAACGAAGGGAGGCAAGAGCCACAAAGGGGAATTAGCACCGGCATGGAGGACGTTACCTATTTTGGGTCATGAAACGTCTGCAAGAAAACCAGAGAGCATCAAGGACCCCACATCATCATCATCATCATCATCATCATCATTATTATCTTCTTCTTCTTCTTCTCCTCCTCCCCCCTCTTCTTCTTCTTCTTCTTCTTCTTCTTTTTCTTCTTCTTCTTCTCCTCCCCTCCTCCTCCTCCTCCTCCTCCTCCTCCTCCTCCTCCTCCTCTTCTTCTTCTTCTTCTTCTTCTTCTTCTTCTTCTTCTTCTTCTTCTTCTTCTTCTTCTTCTTCTTCTTCTTCTTCTTCTTCTTCTTCTTCTTCTTCCTCCTCCTCCTCCTCCTCCTCCTCCTCACTGCCAACCCCTCTCCCTTCTAGCACTGATGATGTTACCTAGTTGGGTCATGAAACGTCTGCAGGTAAACCACCACGCCCAGAGAGCACCAAGGACCCCACAGTCCTCCTCCTCCTTTCCACCTCCTCCTCCTCCTCTCTGCAAACTTTCTAGCACTGAGATTGTTACCCAGTTGGGTAATGAAATGTCTGCAGGAAAACTCTCAAGCTCAGAAAGCACCAAAGAGCCCACGTTTCAAATCTAAGCTACAAATATTCTCCTTTAAACAACTCAGTTCGATCCCAAAGCTTGAAACGTACGCTCCAGCCGGGCCATCGGCTTCCAGCTTCTTGGATATAATCTAGGATCAGTTTCTGGGCAGTGTGTCCCAGGGTGGTGTCGTCCTGGTCAGGTCTCAACAGCTCATGAAGGTACTGGCTGGTGAGCAGGTCCACCCCGGAGGTTTCGTTCAGAAGTGAGAAAACCTCTCGAGGGTCTCTAAGATCAGTCGTGGCAATCAGGACCCTGTAAGAGAAGAAGTACAGGTGGTCCTTGATTTACGACCAGAATTTCCATTGTTAAGTGGAGAAGAAAGAAAGAAAAAGAAAGAAAGAAAGAAAGAAAGAGGAAAGGAAGAGAAGAGAAAGAAAAAAAGAAGTAGGAAGTAAGGAAAGGAAAGGAAAAGAAAGGAAAGGAGGAGAAAGAAAGAAAGAAGTAGGAAGGAATAAAGAAGGAAAGAAAGGGAAGAAGGGAGGAAAGGAATAAAGAAGGAAAGAAAAGGAAGGGAAGAAGGGAGGGAAGGAAGGAATAAAGAAGGAAAGAAAGGAAAGGGAAGAAGGGAAGGAAGGAAGGAATAAAGGAAAGAAAGGAAAGGGAAGGAGGGAAGGAAGGAAGGGAGAGAGAAAGAAAGAAAGAAAGAAAGAAAGAAAGAAAGAAAGAAAGAAAGAAAGAAAGATGGTTGTTATGAGAGCATTGCCCATTTTCACCCACCTGGCCTGATCATCAATGTTCTCTTGTTCCGTTAAGTTCTTCCACTCGCTCAAGAGTTGGGAATCCTGTCGAATAAACGGGATTGTGGGGTGTTGGTTGCGACTGGAGTCCCCTTCTCCAGGTTTTAGCACCCCTACATTATCCTCCTTGCACGGGACCTCCCCTTTCCCCCAAAACAGAGACCCCGCGGCAATTGGCTTTCCAGTCTGCAACTCTGCAAGTCGTTGCAAGGGCGATGAAATTAAAAGGGACAGCAGCAGTCAAGCCCAGGCTAAACCAACCCACCCCCCCAGATGGAAAGGGGGCCAAGGAGGGGCGAACCTGCTTACGTTTAAATGCTCCACGCTTCCGATTTGGATCCCAGACACTCCTTCCCTCAGCCAAAACTGGATGGCTTCCTGTAGGGTGGATGGCAAGAACAGAACGAGACAAGTTAATAGTCCTCAGTGATTCCCCCAGTACGCTACCCCCTTAAACCCAGCTGCGACAGTTGGATCGACTTCCCCTCCAATCTCGGCCAATTAAGTTTGGGTCAAGAAAAAAAAAATATCGGGTTTTAATGGAGCTGCACCAGCAAAGATATTCCCAGCTTAAAACAACTTCCCAAGATTCTAGTCCTTGACTTACAACCACACCTGGCACCAGAATTTCAATTGCTAAGCAAGGCGGTTGATAAGTGCCCGATTTTACGACCTTTTTCGGTCAGGGCTGTTAAGCAGATTGCGGCAGTTCTTAAGTGAATCACACACGGTCGTTATGCGAATCCGGCTTCCCTCACCGACGTGGCTTGTCGGTCACAAATGGTGATCAAGTGATCCCGAAACCCTGCAACCGTTGTAAATACATGCTGGTTTGCCAAGTGTCCAAATTTTGATCCCATGACTGTGGGGATGTCGTAAGTGTGAGGACCGGTCCTAAGTCACTTTTTTAGTCACGAATGCACGGTTGTAAATGGAGATCTACTTGTATTAACTACACATTCCCTGATTAGATCCTCCTAATAATTTTCTAGTTGTTTTTTCCCCCCTCTTTTCCTCACTTACTTTCATTTTATTCTGGAAATCACCCTTAAGCCACACATCTTGGCTAAACCAGGGTAACTGGCCGCGATAGTTAGGCGTCAGGTCCAAGATAACCTTTAAACCTGAAAAAGAGAGATAGGTTACCTCACAACAAATCACTTTTAATTGTAATTTCTTTTTTTTTGGCAATTTTTTCCTCTTTTTTCTTTGTTTCTTTTTAGTAAGAGTAAGCAACAAGCAACAGCAAAGTACAGACCTTAAAACAAGAACTGCAATTATGTAATGAAATACTCTGAAATATTTTTAACCTGCCTAGAGTAGCCCTATAGCAAGATAGGCTGCAACAAAGAAATAGTGCTCTAGGCAGCTGTTTATCAACTTTATTTTTATTTATACATATTTTTATCTATTATTCAATTGATCTGTTGTCCATCTCACTGCCCAGAGCACCTTTAGATGCACAATTTAAGCCCTCTTAAGTTGGTTAACATGAGCCTTTTAGAATCCAGAGCTTAATGCTGATATAAAATCTTTTTTTCTTTTTCTTTTTTGCTATCTTTAAAGATTTTAGTTAGCAGGTCGACCACAACTGAGCCCAAAATTTCACATTGCTTGTCAGAAGTTTGTAAAAGGGGATCACATGACACAGCAACCGTCACAAATACGAGTCAGTTGCCAAGCGTCTGAATTTTGATCACGTGACCCTGGGGAGGCTGCANCTTCTTCTTCTTCTTCTCCTCCTCCTCCTCCTCCTCTTCCTCTTCTTCTTCTTCTTCTTCTTCTTCTTCTTCTTCTTCTTCTTCTTCTTCTTCTTCTTCTTCTTCTTCTTCTTCTTCTTCCTCCTCCTCCTCCTCCTCCTCCTCACTGCCAACCCCTCTCCCTTCTAGCACTGATGATGTTACCTAGTTGGGTCATGAAACGTCTGCAGGTAAACCACCACGCCCAGAGAGCACCAAGGACCCCACAGTCCTCCTCCTTTCCACCTCCTCCTCCTCCTCTCTGCAAACTTTCTAGCACTGAGATTGTTACCCAGTTGGGTAATGAAATGTCTGCAGAAAAACTCTCAAGCTCAGAAAGCACCAAAGAGCCCACGTTTCAAATCTAAGCTACAAATATTCTCCTTTAAACAACTCAGTTCGATCCCAAAGCTTGAAACGTACGCTCCAGCCGGGCCATCGGCTTCCAGCTTCTTGGATATAATCTAGGATCAGTTTCTGGGCAGTGTGTCCCAGGGTGGTGTCGTCCTGATCAGGTCTCAACAGCTCATGAAGGTACTGGCTGGTGAGCAGGTCCACCCCGGAGGTTTCGTTCAGAAGCGAGAAAACCTCTCGAGGGTCTCTAAGATCAGTCGTGGCAATCAGGACCCTGTAAGAGAAGAAGTACAGGTGGTCCTTGATTTACGACCAGAATTTCCATTGTTAAGTGGAAAAGAAAGAAAAAGAAAGAAAGAAAGAAAGAAAGAAAGAAAGAAAGAAAGAAAGAAAGAAAGAAAGAGAAGAGAAAGAAAAAAAGAAGTAGGAAGTAAGGAAAGGAAAGGAGAAAGAAAGAAAGAAGTAGAAAGGAATAAAGAAAGAAAGGGAAGGGAAGAAGGGAGGGAAGGAATAAAGAAGGAAAGAAAGGAAAGGGAAGAAGGGAGGGAAGGAAGGAATAAAGGAAACAAAGAAAAAGAAAGAAAGGAAAAGGAAAGGAAGAGAAGAGAAAGAAAAAAAGAAGTAGGAAGAAAGGAAAGGAAAGGAAAGGAGGAGAAAGAAAGAAAGAAGTAGGAAGGAATAAAGAAGGAAAGAAAGGGGAGGGAAGAAGGGAGGGAAGGAAGGAATAAAGAAGGAAAGAAAGGAAAGGGAAGAAGGAAGGGAAGGAAGGAATAAAGGAAAGAAAGAAAAGGGAAGGAGGGAAGGAAGGGAGAGAGAAAGAGAGAAAAAAGAAGGAAAGAAAGAAAGAAAGAAAGAAAGAAAGAAAGAAAGAAAGAAAGAAAGAAAGAAAGAAAGAAAGAAAGAAAGAAAGAAAGAAAGATGGTTGTTATGAGAGCATTGCCCATTTTCACCCACCTGGCCTGATCATCAATGTTCTCTTGTTCCGTTAAGTTCTTCCACTCGCTCAAGAGTTGGGAATCCTGTCGAATAAACGGGATTGCGGGGTGTTGGTTGCGACTGGAGTCCCCTTCCCCAGGTTTTAGCACCCCTACATTATCCTTCTTGCATGGGACCTCCCCTTTCCCCCAAAACAGAGACCCCGCGGCAATTGGCTTTCCAGTCTGCAACTCTGCAAGTCGTTGCAAGGGCGATGAAATTAAAAGGGACAGCAGCAGTCAAGCCCAGGCTAAACCAGGCTCCTCCCCCCAGATGGAAAGGGGGCCAAGGAGGGGCGAACCTGCTTACGTTTAAATGCTCCACACTTCCGATTTGGATCCCAGACACTCCTTCCCTCAGCCAAAACTGGATGGCTTCCTGTAGGGTGGATGGCAAGAACAGAACGAGACAAGTTAATAGTCCTCAGTGATTCCCCCAGTATGCTACCCCCTTACACCGAGCTGCGACAGTTGGATTGACTTCCCCTCCAATCTCGGCCAATTAAGTTTGGGTCAAGAAAAAAAAATAAATCAGGTTTTAATGGAGCTGCACCAGCAAAGATATTCCCAGCTTAAAACAACTTCCCAAGATTCTAGTCCTTGACTTACAACCACACCTGGCACCAGAATTTCAGTTGCTAAGCAAGGCGGTTGATAAGTGCCCGATTTTACGACCTTTTTCGGTCAGGGCTGTTAAGCAGATCGCGGCAGTTCTTAAGTGAATCACACACGGTCGTTATGCGAATCCGGCTTCCCTCACCGACGTGACTTGTCGGTCACAAATGGTGATCAAGTGATCTCGAAACCCTGCGACCGTTGTAAATACATGCTGGTTTGCCAAGCGTCCAAATTTTGATCCCATGACTGTGGGGATGTCGTAAGTGTGAGGACTGGTCCTAAGTCACTTTTTCAGTCACGAATGCAGAGTTGTAAATGGAGATCTACTTGTATTAACTACACATTCCCTGATTAGATCCTCCTAATAATTTTCTAGTTGTTTTTTTCCCCTCTTTTCCTCACTTACTTTCATTTTATTCTGGAAATCACCCTTAAGCCACACATCTTGGCTAAACCAGGGTAACTGGCCACGATAGTTAGGCGTCAGGTCCAAGATAACCTTTAAACCTGAAAAAGAGAGATAGGTTACCTCACAACAAATCACTTCTAATTGTAATTACTTTTTGGGGCAATTTTTTTTCTCTTTTTTCTTTGTTTCTTTTTAGTAAGAGTAAGCAACAAGCAACAGCAAAGTACAGACCTTAAAACAAGAACTGCTATTATGTAATGAAATGCTTTGAAATATTTTTAACCTGCCTAGAGTAGCCCTATAGCAAGATAGGCTGCAACAAAGAAATAGTGCTCTAGGCAGCTGTTTATCAACTTTATTTTTATTTATACATATTTTTATCTATTATTCAATTGATCTGTTGCCCATCTCACTGTCCAGAGCACCTTTAGATGCACAATTTAAGCCCTCTTAAGTTGGTTAACATGAGCCTTTTAGAATCCAGAGCTTAATGTTGATATAAAATCTTTTTTTCTTTTTCTTTTTTGCTATCTTTAAAGATTTTAGTTAGCAGGTCGACCACAACTGAGCCCAAAATTTCACATTGCTTGTCAGAAGTTTGTAAAAGGGGATCACATGACACAGCAACCGTCACAAATACGAGTCAGTTGCCAAGCGTCTGAATTTTGATCACGTGACCCTGGGGAGGCTGCATTTGTTGTTAAGTGTGAAAAACAGTTGTAAGTCCTATTTTCTAGTGCCGTTGTAACTTTGAATTGTCACTAAACAAATAGTTGTAAGCTGAGGACTTCCTGTAGAGCTACATCCGTGAACAAAAGTCACGCCTGCTTCAACCCATTCTTGTTTTAACTTTATTTCCATTCGATTTTTGGGCAGAGCCAAAACAGAAAAAAAAACAATATTTCAGGTTGAAACCTGGCCTACATTTAGGATGAGTCAATCGACAAAGCCTTGTTTAAAATGTATCTAAATTAAATTAAATGTATATTTACATAGCCTTAGTTGTGAAATATATAGGCCCTACCCTTCTTTGTTTGTTCACCGTCTAACTTCAGAACATCTCAGGCTGATTGAGAAACGAGACAAATACTGTCAACAGGAAGGGAATTAAAAGATATTTTTCATGAAATTGCATAACCAGTGCAACCTCCAAAATATTCTTCCTTCTTTTGGGAAACAAAAATATTGTTTTATTGTCTTGCAAGGCACAAAACAAATGTTACTTAGGCACGGTGGTCCCTAAACAGTATTAACTGGAGATTATTATTCTTATTATAATTCCTTGCACAGTCAGCCAGATATTTAGACTGGATTATTATTATTAATTAAACTCAGGGCTTTTTTTGTCATAGAACGCCCAGAACGGAGTTCCGGCACCTTTTTGAGATGGAACCTTGTAGGGTAGGCAAGGCAGGTTGTATGACGTGTGTGAGTTCTGGCACCTTTTTTTTTTTTTTTTTTTTTTACAAAAAAAGCATTGATTAAACTTGTATGCCACCCAATTCTCAACAACTCTAGCCAGTTTGCATCAAACTAATTACAATTAAACAAATAAAAGATAAAAGATATGTTAAGCGCTGTATTAACACAATGATGAGTTAGCTAACTAAAATCTTTAAAGATAGCAAAAAAAAATTATATCAACATTAAGCTCTGGATTCTAAAAGGCTCATGTTAACCAACTTAACAAAGAATTAAGGGAGAACTGGAATAGCCATTTCGAACTGTTTAGTTCTTTTCAACCAGACATACCCTTCTGAGATTCGAACCTGGGCTGTCTGCATGTTAGGCAGATGTATTAACCTCTAGGCCACAGGCTCTTTCTCACTTTGTCAGCTATGAGACAGGGGAGAAGAATTATCTTGAGTTTGGTGTATATATATTATACACACACACACACACACACACACAAACATTGAAATACATTATGTTAGAAAACATAACGCATTGAAATAAATATATATTTTCCCCACTTACTTTTCTTCTTCGCGGCCTGCACAACATCTCTGAAGTCCTGCAAGGTGCCCAGTTTTGGGTCCACGTCTTGGAGGTTGGTGCTGTAGGGCTGATCCTCGGGGTTCACGTGCAGAGGGCCGATGACAAAACCTTTCACTTTCAGCTTGCTTAAATAGCTCATCCTCTCTTTCACCCCTAAAAGCAAAAAAAAGGAAGCCAAGTTTATCCCAAGGCTGAAAAAAAAATATCACATTTTCAGAACTCTCTTTAGCGCCCAAGGCCAGCCTTCTGACGATTTGTGTGGGTGGCTCTTGACAACTGAGCCCCAACTTTTCGTTGCTAAGGGAGACCGTTGTTAAATGGGTTTTGCCCTATTTTACGACCTTCCTGGCCAGGCTTGTTAAGGGGATCACTGCAGTTGTTAAGTTAGTGACACGGTCGTTAAATGAATCGACTTAGCTTGTCAGAAAGTTGCAAAAGGGGATCACGTGACCCCAGGACACCGCGACCATCATAAATGTGAGTCGGTTGCCCAGTGTCTGGAGTCTGATCACATGACCCACGGGGAGGCTGCGACGGTCGTAAAGTGTGAAAAACGGTGCTTTTTTCCGCCCCTTCAAAGTTGTAACTTCGAGTGTGCGCTAAACGAACCGTCGTTAAGTCGAGGACTACGTCCTGTAACAAGATCAGCGTGCCCCGTTTTCTGAAAATAAGATGAGACTCCGCGGGAAGAGGTAATGCCGCTAGTCCTCAACTTATAACCTTCAATTTAGGTTACAATGGCCCTGGAAAAAACGACTCAGGACTGATCCTCGTACTTACGACCGTCACAGCGTCCTCACACTCACGTAATCCAAATTCGGACGCCTGGCAACCGGCACGTATTTATGACTGCTGCAGCATCCCGGGGTCCCATAAACCTTCCCAGCCGGTTTCTGACGAGCAAAATCAACGGGGGAAGCCAGATTCGTTTAACGACCACACAGTTCACTTAGAATGGCAGGGATTCGCTTACCAACCGGGGCCCAAAAGATTGTCAAATTGGGCACAAAGTCACATTAACAACCGCCTGGCTTAGCCGCGGAAATCCTGGTCCCGATTGTGGCTAGAAGTCCAGGGTTATTTGTAAAAGAGTTGCAACTTCTTAATTGGAAGGATAATTTTAAGTATTCTGATAAAACCTGCCCGATTAAATTGAGAAATTCCGAAGCCGTCTCATTAGGGAAAGCCGAGAAATAACATCTGGATTGGTTCCAAAAGAAAGCAGGTCACATCCAGCTGGGTCGCTGGTTTTCAACATAAACCCAGTTTCATCCGGAGCGGGCAGAGTTCCTGGCCAGCATCCCAGATTCTGTTCTGCAAACTCAAACATGCGTGCCGAATGCTTTGTCTAATCTTTGCTCAAGGTTACACATTGCCAGCCTGAATGAGCAATTCGGGCTTGTTGTGTTTTTTTTTTTTTACTTTTTAATCCTTTTAATTTGCTCCGTTGAACCGTTTCGGGGCTGCCGTGATCCGCACTTAATCCGAACGGAAACGGAGCGGAGAATTTATTCAGCCAGCCAACTCAGAAAAGAGAGGCATTGTGGAGCATTTAACTGCACATTGCTTGAGCAGGTTAACTGCTGTGTGTAGTTGCACAATCACAACCTGGGAGGCAGTGGGGAATTTTTTTTTAGAGGACCAACAGAGAAATCCCGGCTGCAAATTGCATCCTTTGGAAGGCACGGCAGAGGGCGAATTTGCACCCCGAGTTGGGGTTGGACTAGATGACCTCCCGGAACCCCATCAACCTTAACTTTCTGTAAGGGCTTGGCTCCTGAGGAAATGCATCAGGCCGGACTCACTGCCTCAAATCTTAACCACCTTCCTTTCCATCCTCCAGTCGAAATGTCTGTTTATAGGACTGTGGCTGTTATCAAGTTTGGGCTGGTTTGAGTTTGGCGTTGGGCGTTGGGCGTGGCATCCATCATCCCAAACGCCTCCACTTCAATCCAACAAGTCCTAACCCATTATGGGTCAGTGGTTAATGAGCTCCGAGCAAAATGAACGGGGCAGGGCCTCAACCCATTCTTTATTCTCAGCCTGGCCTACTTCGCAAGATTGTTGTGGGCGTCCAATGGGGACAAGAGGCATGCCGTTTCCTTGTTGTTGTTTTGAACCTCTTACGCCCAGGGTCAACCTTTGGAACAAGGATGCTCTATATTACAAGGATGTTACAAAGAGACTTAATTAGAAACAATAGGAACTCAAGTTTCCGGTCCTCAAGACTGCAAAAACAGGCTGGGGAATAAAAATGTGGGCCATGAACTTTTGCGGGGGAGTTACAGTAAAATATATAATCCTGTCAAGATCTAGACAGCGAGCAATGAAGCGTTTGCTGCTGCCTGGATTCTCCTTGCTGTGGAGTATTTCTCTTTTGGAAGGTTGAAGCTCTGCAAAGTCAGGGACACCACCAGAGGGCGAGGGGGAACCTCCAGAGAAACTGACTAGTCCCTGCACAAGATCGGCAACTGTTTGTGGAGTTTCACAACATTGGAGCAAATTCCCGGAAAAGTTTGGGCCATGGGTCAAAGGACACCAATCCAGCAGAAAAGTGTCTTAAAAATTCAAGGAACAGAGGACAGGAAGGGCAGGGAAGGGAGAGGAGAAAGAAAGAAAGAAAGAAAGAAAGAAAGAAAGAAAGAAAGAAAGAAAGAAAGAAAGAAAGAAAGAAAGAAAGAAAGAAAGAAAGAAAGAAAGAAAGAAAGAAGTAGGAAGTAAGGAAAGGAAAGGAAAGGAAAGGAGGAGAAAGAAAGAAAGAAAGAAAGAAAGGAGGGAGGGAGGGAGGGAGGGAGGGAAGGAAGGAAGGAAGGAGAGTAGGAAGGAAGGAAGGAAAGTAAGAATTAAAGATGATTAAAGAAAAAAGTCAGAGAAAGGGACGGACAGACAGACAGACGAAAGACAACAAAAACAAGAAACCAAAGACAGACAGGCAGACAGGAAGGCAATGAATGAAAGAAATGAAGGGAAGAAAAAAAAAGATTCAAGACAGAAAGAAGGAACGGAAGAAAGCAAAACGAAAGGAAGGAAAGAGAGGAAAGAAAAAAAAAGAAAAAAAAGGAAAGAAATGTGTGTGTGTGTGAGGAGGGAGGAATAAAGAGAGAGGAGGAGAAGAGACAGTCCTTCACCCAACCAGCCCGGAGCTGACTCAGCTTTTGCACTGACGTCAAGAGCTGATGAAACACTACTCAGCAGTTACTACAGGAAAAGCTCCAGCCGGCTAAAACTGGCTTTTGAGCAGGGCGGTCCACGGCGGCTGGCATGGCTTCCCTTGGATGGTTGGGGGGCGATCTCCCCCCCAACCATCCAAGCCCCCCCATCCCAGCAATGTCTAGTACCCAAATGACCCCGGGGAGGGGGGGTCTCCAGGTTCCCTTTCTTTAAAATCCACTGGCTTTGGAGCAGACTCTGGAGTAGGCTGATATATTTGGGGAGGCTTGGGGGGGGGGAGAAAGGAGGGCTCCAAGGCGAAGAAGAGGCGGTTGAACGGATCCACCTCTTGGGAGTGGGGAAGTGGAAGCACCCCAAATTAAGGAAACCCCCCCCCAAACTTAAATTATCATTTAGGGTTAAGGGAGAAGCCCCAATCAACCCAGCCGAGTGGGTCTTGATTAGACCTTAGATGATTGCAGAAAGATCCCGGGATCTTTCAGGAATTCCAAGCAAGGAGATCCCTTTTGCCAGGAGCTGGATGGATCCCCACCAGAGCCAGAGAGAGAGTCAGTCTTGGGGCTCAAGGCCGACTCCCTTTTGCACCACCCTAACCCATCATCCCCAACTCACCTGCCAGGTCGCCTGTGCCGTCGCTGCCCGAATCTTGGAAGCCTTCCACCTGCAGGATCCGGTAGATCCCTCCTTTCTGCCACCAGTCCTGCTTGGGCAGGTCTTTGCAGCGGGGGGCCTGGACAATGATGGCGATGGCCCCCGCCAGCATGCCCAGCCAGCCCAGCCAGAAGAGGACCAGCAGGGCCCAGCGGGTCCGGACCCAGCCGGGGGTGCCGGCCACCTGGAGCAGCTGCTCCTTGGTCAAGCCGGTGAATTTGGCCGCCATCTCGGCCTCCTCTTCCTCCTCCTCCATCTTCACCTTCACCACCCCGTTCTTCTCGCCCAGGCTGCCCGGAGAGCCGGCCAGGGGCGAAGAGGCGTTCATGGGCTGCTTTTCGGGGTCCATCTCGTTCAGCTCCACGTCCTTCATGTCCAGCTCGGGAGTCACGCCAGGGGAGCTCATGCTGTCACCTGCGGAAAGGAGACCCCGAGGTGATGTCTTCCGAGGGGGCAGCCTGAGGAGCTAGTCTTCTAAGTGAAGGGAGAACCCGAGACGCTAGCCTTCTCCCTACAGGGGAGACCTTGCGCTAAGGATAGGTGGAGTAATGCTGGTCTACTCTAGACCTTTTCAGAGCCTGAGATGCTAGTCTTCTCCCTGCGGGGAGGACAGCCTGAGAAGCTAGTCTTCTGAGTGAGGGGGTAAGCCTTAAAACTAGATGTCTCACTCCGGGGAGACACTGCGTTCAGGATAGGGGTAACAACGCTGGTCTAGACTTTTCCAGAGTCGGTGCTCTCCCTCCCTCCCTGGCTGGGCCTGATCACAAATCCCATCCTCCTGGCGGCTGGGGAATATGGGCAGGGGAGCCCCACGTGGCCTGTGGGAATCTCGCAGCCCGCGAGGGGTTTCAGAGAGATCCTTTTCAAGGCATTTTTGATCTCTTTTAGGTGACTTGATCCCTTTGCCAGGAGGAATCGGGGGTGGTGGTGGGGTGGTCACCCCTCCACCTCCCATCATCCCCGGCCCCAACCAAGCGCTACCTGGAAGAAAAGTGGACGCCGAGCTCCTTCGACCTGGAGATCCGTGGGGAATCCGGTTAGATCTGATCTGAGAACCCGCTCCAGCCGGCCGGCAGCTCAAGTAGAGACGGAGGGAGCCTCCGCCCCCGATCCGCCTCCCGGGCTCCCTTAAGGTGGATCGGATCCCCGCCAGCCGAGCTCAGCCCAGGAAGAATGGGAGCGACTAGATTTCCAGGTAGACTTCCATGAGATGGGGAGGTTCTGCCAGACAGACCCCCACCGGCCCAAAGACACCAGGCATCGCTGGGGCATTGCAGCTGCATCGGCGCTGTCCAAGGTGCCAAACGTCGGTGTTGGCTACCTGGGCAGAGGTAGACTGCCCCTAAACCTGGAGGCTTTATATCATCAGAACTAGCCCCTTAGGAACGCTTTCCATTCTTTTGGGGGGGGCAATGTACGAAGGGGGTGCCGATCGCTTCAACCCATGGCAGAGAATAATGCCCCCTGGGGTGCTAGCTGGGAACTTTGGGGATTGTAGTCCCGGGGAAATAGATGGGGTGGAGTAGCGGTTCCAGGGTTTAAACCAGGGATCTCCAAACTTGGCAACTTGAATTCCCAGAATTCCCCAGTCAACTTGGCAACTTTTTAAGACTCGCGGACTTCAACTCCCAGAATTCTCCAGCTAGCTGGTTGGGGGATTCTGGGAGTTGAAGTCCACAGGTCTTAAAAGTGGCCACGTTTGGGGAGCCCTGGTTTAAAAGCTTTGCCAAATGCCTTATGTGAGCCAAGCTCTCTTTTTTTTTTTTGCCTCTGCTGACCAATTTCTCAGTAAGAATACTCGCAGGTAGACTGCCCTTCGCACTGGAGGCTTGCTTAAAATCTTCCAGGCCGGAAGCATTCGCACGCCATTCTTAATTCTGATTATCCATAATGAGGAAACGTTTCGGTGTTTAAATATCCCACTTTTTTTCTCTCTCTATGCTATGCTAGGTGGAAACCCTTAAAAAAAAAATAGAACCGCTTTAAACCTTGGGTAAAAAACTAACTTAAATGTCGGTTTAATGGTCTTTAATGAGCAGGGGATAACTTTCCAAGTTATTTAGGAATTTCCCTTTTCTGTCACATTCAAAAATGACAGCTTTGTGAAGCTTGAGGATGGATAGGCTGGGGGCCATTGAAGAGTTTTGCTGGCCTCAGGGAACTCTGGTTTAATGGTTAAACCAGAGTTTAATCATTGGCACCCAAGAAAGTATTCCTTGAGACTCCAGATAACAAATCTGCAGTGTTCCTCAACTTTATGATGAGTGGATGCTGGGGAATTCTGGGAGTTGATGTCCATCTTAAAGCACGGCGAGGGGGATTCTGGGAGTTGAAGTCCACCCGTCTTAAAACATGCTGCGTGGGGAATTCTGGGAGTTGAAGTCCACCCATCTTAAAGCTGGATGGGGGATTCTGGGAATTGAAGCCCACCCCTCTTAAAGTTGCCAAGGTTGAGAAACACGACTAAAGAGACAATAAACCTTAATATCTTCCCAGCGCACAAGTCCTTCTGATCTTACTGTTGGGCTCAAGTTTCATTTTTTTTTTAGAAACACACCAGAAATGGGTATGTTGCATTGTGTGTGTGTGTTTGTGTCAGGGCTGCACACTCCATCAACGGGGGGGGGGGGATCAAAGGAGCAAGCATCCTCTTTGGACAATTGCAAGAAGTGATCTATTGTTCTCGGCTTTCAATGGCAGCCTTGCCAAGTGTCTGCGGGAGGCTTTTGTGAGATGGGTGGAGAATGCAGACCCCCTACATTTACAGCCATCGGCAATAACAACCGACACCAAAACTGGATGCAGTATTCCAGGTGTGGCCTTACCAAGGCATTATAAACACTTCACCATGCCTCTTTGTACTAAATTCTTCTTTCTTTCTTTCTTTCTTTTTTTCTTTCTTTCTTTCTTTCTTTCTTTCTTTCTTTCTTTCTTTCTTTCTTTCTTTCTTTCTTTCTTTCTTTCTTTCTTTCTTTCTTTTCTTTCCCAGCAATGCCATTAGGTCACTCCCACCCTATCTATCTATCTATCTATCTATCTATCTATCTATCTATCTATTATCCATCCATCCATCCATCCATCCATCCATCCATTATCTATCTATCTATCTATCTATCTATCTATCTATCTATCTATCCATCCATCATCTATCTATCTATCTATCTATCTATCTATCTATCTATCTATCTATCTATCTATCTATCTATCTATCTATCTATCTATCTATCTATCTATCTAATATATTTCTCCAATTATCTATCATCTGTCTATCATCTATTTAATCTAATTATCCTTCTAATTTATTTTCTTTCTTTCTTTCTTTTTTTCTTTCTTTCTTTTCTTTCTCTCTCTCTCTCTCTCTCTTTCCCTAAATCTTTGCAAGGACCTCAATTTGGTGAAGTGAGCTCCTGTACGATCCCTCGACTTCTCTTAGCCAAAATTAAAAATATCCTTCATTCTGATTCCTCCACCTTAAAACAGCCTGGACTTTATTAGCCCAGCTTTGCAAAAACCTGCCCTCCCTCTCCCCCTCTTCGCTCTAAAGCAGATAAACAACTTTTAGACAAACAAAGAAGGAACCTAGTTTCCTTGCCTTCCCTAAAACATCTGGCCAGCTAATTCCTGTCTGATCTGGGTCAACAACCCCCGCTTTCAACTCTTTGTACTATGGATTTAATAATAACCAGCCTTGAGTTGCTTCAGGCAATTGTTTTTAAAAGGACCATTGTATGGAGAACCTGACTCCTGCTTTATTTATTCCTCTGGCCCAGATGGATGGACTTCAACTCCCAGAATCCCCCAGCCAGCCTTTGTTCAGTGATGGTTTGAAGTTAGGACGATGCTGGAAAAAGGGGTTTAGAACTGATCCTACTTCCGACGGTCACAGCATCCCCGTAATCGCGGGATCAAAATTCAGCATGTATTTATGATGTTTTGTGGTGTGTGTCCCGGGGTCATGTGATCCCCATTTGCCAGCCGGCTTCCAACCAGCAATCGGTGGGGGACGGGGGATTCGCTGAATGACACGATTCGCTTAAGGGCAGCAGGGATCCATTTAACGACCACAGCAAAAAAGGCTGTACAATTGGGCCTGGCTCACTTAATGACAGTCTCACTTAGCCATGGATGTTCTTGTCCCAATTAGGGTTTCCTGCCTGAGCAGGGGGCTGGACTAGATGACCTCCAAGGTACCTTCCAACATTATTATTATTATTACTACTATTACTACTACAACTACTATTATTATTATTATTATTATTCATTAGACGTGAACTTCAGTCAACTGAACATTCAAATTATTATTATTGTTGTTGTTGTCATAACCTGAGGATTAGCTGTATCCCACTTCTCAAATATGTACAGATTTCATTACGGCACAGCAGATTTCAACCCTGACAAAATCTACAGCATTTTAATCTGATATCCAAACAGTGGGATCAAAATCCTCAAATCTGTTTATTTCCTCCCCCCCCCCCTTGTTTCCTAACTGCCTGGTGCTTGGAAATTGGCTGATAAGCCACATTTAATGGCAATGTTTACCTGATCAATGTTTGTCTGCTAACAAACAGAGCAGGAAGGTGGATTAAACAAGGCCACAGGCTTGTTTAGGACCCTGAAAACATGCTTTCCCCAAACATCGGAGGTGCGTGTTTACACCATGTGCTCGCATCTGATTCCAAGAATCCCTTTCCTTGCGAAGTTAAAAGCCGCTGCCCCTGTTCTTCTGAAGCGCTCAGCTGGATCTCGGCCAGGGCTGGGGGAAAAATTAACTGACATTGCAGCTTCGTGTTTATCTGCCTTTCAGAGGGAAGATAACATCCCCACAGCTGGGGTGGCTGGAATTCACCCAAAACCCCTTAGCAAAACTTGTCAACAGCCTGCCCCCCCTCCCCACATACAACTGCAGGGGTCTGGGAACTGAAATGCAGGTGAAAACATGCTGTGGACTTTGAAGTTTTCCTCTAGGTCAGGAATCTGCAGTTTCCCATTTAGGAGAGTTTTCTGATAAGAGGACGATTGAAAAACATGTTATTTTGGAAAGTTTTGAAAGGGTAGGAATCAATTCTTCCAGCAAAAGAGAAGTTAGTTAATATTACAGGTTCAACCACTTTAAAAAATTCTTTCTTTCTTTCTTTCTTTCTTTCTTTCTTTCTTTCTTTCTTTCTTTCTTTCTTTCTTTCTTTCTTTCTCTTTCTTCTTTCTCTTTCCTCTTCCTTTTTTCTTTCTCTCTTTCTTTCTCTTTTTTCTCTTTTCTCTCTCTCTCTCTCTATCCTATCTCTATATCTATCTATCTATCTATCTATCTATCTATCTATCTATCTATCTATCTATCTATCTGTATACCTTTATATCTATATATCTATTTGTATCTATCTATCTATCTATCTATCATCTATCATCTATCCATCCATCCATCCATCCATCCATCCATCCATCCATCCATCCATCTATCTATCTATCTATCTATCTATCTATCTATCTATCTATCTATCTATCTATCTATCTATCTATCTATCTAATCTATTTCTCCCTCTAGTCATCTATCATCTGTCTATCATTTATTCAATCTAATTTTCCTTCTAATTCTCTCTCTCTCTCTCTCTCTCTCTCTCTCTCTCTCTCTCTCTCTCTCTCCCTCCCTCCCTCCCTCCCTTCCTCTTCCAGATAAACAAAACAAGTTCCTAGCCCTCATCACAGCAGGGATAAACTTGAAACTGGAGAAGTCTGCGCTAAGATTTCTAGAGATCAAAGAGCAGGTTTAGTTAATGGCCCTGTTGCTTTCCCCACCACCACCTCAAGTCCCAGAATTCCTCAGCCAGGCATGCTTTTAAGTGGGTGGATTTCCACTCCCAGAATTCCCCAGCCAGCATGCTCTAAGATGGGTGGACTTCAACTCCCAGAATTCCCCAGCCAGCATGCTCTAAGATGGGTGGTCTTCAACTCCCAGAATTCCCCAGCCAGCTTGATTTAAGGCGGGTGGACCTCAACTCCCAGAATTCCCCAGCCAGCAGGTGAGCTGGGGAATTCTGGGACTTGAAGTCCAAGTATCTTAAAAGTTGCCGAGAAAGATCCCATCAGGAATTGTCTCCCACCAACCATCCCAAGCATAGGATTCTCACCAGACACATAGCCTCCACGAACGTTCCCTCCAGCCAAAACACGAGACCAATTCTCAGAATCAAAAATAAAATAAAACAAAATAAACCATCAGGACAGCTGTACAGCTCCCTCCTCCTTTTGGAGAAAGCTCCAGGGGTTGGAAAACTAGACACAAACAGAACTGTGTGATGAGAAACAGAAAACCTAGGTGGGACAGAAAGATTAAAGGATCTGGAAAAACTCTAGAAAGGCCTCTGATCCATCAAAGAGATTGAAAAAGGAGATGGATTTAATGAAACCAGCTTGCACATCTCTCCAAGCCACGATCCGATTAAATCAGAGTTAGTTGGATTGAGTCCCAACTTAGCAGGATGTGCCAAGCCTGGTTTACAAACAGCTTTTTTTGTTTTTCTTTTTAAGTGGTTTGTTGGGCTGTTTATATGAAAAATTCTCAGGAGTCCTTACTTCCTTTTTGCAATTATCCAAAATTGCTTTGTTTTTTTCCTGGCAATTTAAACTTTTTTTAAAAAAAAGAAGTCCATTATTAATGCACGAGTCCCAATGTATTTTTGCCCCTGAAAAGGGCAAGTTTCATCCTGTTTAGTGCAGACTTAATAGATTGGTGTACGGAGTTTTGCTGGTCATTCATGAGTTTTTTGGCGGAAAGAAAAAATATTTAGCTCATTTTTTTAAAAAAAGTTCACCTATATCCTACATACATACATATGTCTGGTTGAAAAGAACTAAAAAGTTCGAAATGGATATTCCAGTTATCCCTTAATTCTTTGTCAGCAATCTAAAATTTTAAAAACATACATACATACACACACACACACACACACACACACACACACACCTGACAAGCAAAGTCAAAGGGGGAGCCCGATCCACTTAACAACCAAGTCACTAACAACTACGGTGATTTATTTAACAACTAAGAAACGTCATAAAAGGGGGCAAAACTCCCTTAAAAAATGTCTCCCTTAGCGACAGAAAGTTTGGGCGTCATTGTGGCCTACCTGTATAAAAAATTCCCGAATATTAACTGCAGAGGATTCAACGGTAGTCAGGGCAAGATCTATATTTATCGACAGGATTTTGTTGCGACTGGCTGGGGTGAATAAAATTAACTGGGAAAGGTCACCCAGTTGTACCTAGATGACCCAAATAAAGATCTCAAAGTTCTAGGAAGCTTGAAAAGATCACGCATGGATCACAGGCTGCATCGAGACGTAAACAGCAAAGAGATCCTTTTTCAGAGACGCTTTGGGGAGAGATCCCTTGGAGGGAAGTTGAGAAAGAGTGCAAAAGGGTCATTTGTAAAATGAGTATCTTTGGCTAGATGTCCAGATTGGACAACTGGAGAGGGATCCATTTTAGAGTCCTCGGTTTACGACAATTCGGACTGGAATGTGTTGCTAAGTGAGACGTTCCGATTCCCATTGATTTTACGACCTTTTTTGGCTACGGTTTAAGCGAATCTTGACTTTTCCCCATTGATTTTTGCCTGTTGGAAGCTGGCTGGGAAGATCACAAATGGTGATTCTGGGATCTCGTGCTGGTTTACCAAGCGCTCACATTTTGATCACGTGACTCTGGGACACGGTGATGGTCGTAAGTGTGAGGACTGGTTGTAAATCACTTTTTTCAGTGGTGTTGTAACTTGGTTGCTACCAATAGTTGTAAATCGTATACTGAATATTGTTCAGTATTCGGGAGATCAGGTTTCATAGCTCCGGACAGTACAAGATTTTCTTACGCAAGGCAGCTGTCTGGATTCCCCGGAGGGTGATCTGTCCTGGATCTTTTTTTAAAGGCCAAATCAAGACCTGTCTGTCTGCCAAGCAAACACACAGAGCTGAGCTAGGATCAGCAACAGAGACAGAAAACCACATTGTTGTAGGCACAAGGATGTTAAGATTTGGTCTGACCCACAAGGGAGGGAGGATGGCTGAAAGGGACCGAACTTGCTGAGATGGCTAAAGTGACTTCTTTGATTAGAGAAGATAATTATCTACTTTTATTGCCTATTGCCAACCCTTTGTAGGCTTTCCATAAAACAGAAAAAAAAATCAACTTATGGTTTATGTTTCTAATGATTAGACAGGATTATGGATAGGAGAGAGGTTATGTTGTAAGAAGTAAAAGTATGATTGTACTTAGAACTGGCGTAAACAATCTTTTTTTCCTCTTTTTTTTCTTTTCCTTTCTTCGTTTTTAGTCTCTCCTTCCTTCCATGCTTCCTGTCTCCTCTCTCACACAGTACTTGCTTTCTTTTTTAACCTTCCTTCCCCTTTTTTCCTCACATGCAACTGTTACCTTCCTTCCTTCCCTTCTCCTCTCACAGATTATCTCTCAATTTCCTTCCTTTCCTCCTTTATCTTTCTC